CACCAGAGAAACTTGTATTTTTTTCTGAATTTTTGTAGTGAGGATATTTATTACATCTGTTTTATGGCAGCTCGTTTACTGATCTGCAGTCTATATAAGTATCCATGCACCCTACGCATTAGCCTTTAGGAAGCATGGCTAACACAATAGGAAGGCGTTATTGAAGTGGGTAAATTTGGAGCAAACACAAAAGATTTTACCCAAACCAAATAACGTCCCCTTATTGTGTCCACCATTCCTCTATACAAGGCTAAATCTTTGGCTGCTATTATGAGTGCACAGCCCAATTCAAGGGAAATTCTACACCAGGCCGAGGCGCTCAAAAAGTACGACTACAGTTTATTTTAAAAACAGGAGATTTGTTTGAGAGGCCTGAGGGACTTTGGTTGCTTGCACCTGGGTTGCGAACGTGGTTGATGATTTTACATCGTTTTCAATTGGGGCTTGAATTGGTTCAGTGCACCCTTATGACGAGGCACCGCCACAGGTACTAGGTATATTTATGTCTGTGGGCAAAGATCATATGGTTTTTGAACAGCGCCCCCAATTGGTTATTTCTTTTGAGTCAGTTAACATCTCTTTTTCTTTCGTCATTTACTGACACAAACATTACAGTATTTCATTAGGATCGTTCTTGCATTTACTCTTTTAAATAAAATAAATTACTTATTAATAAATGTCATATGACATTTAACTTATCCATATTCTGACAGAAATAAATAATTCATTGAAATCGATGAAAGTTGCAAGGTTCTGAGCAGAGCAACTAGATACTGCCAAAATTCAACATGACGAAGCATTCATCCTCATTCGGGATTGGATCGCAGGAAGAATTGATGAGAACACCCATGTGGGCTTAAACTATTCAAAGATGCCGTTTCTCTGCAGTCAGGCCTGGAAAAGGGTCGATACGAGTTATGGCCACAACTCTTTAGTTTGACGATAATTGAAACGCAAATGAAGATGAATGAGCCAGATTGTTCTGCTTTGAAATAGACCCCGGAGGGGTGACAGAAAATAGGATCGCTAACTAGTGAGGACGCCCTAACAAGTACCCGGGCAGGGACTGGATCATGGATGTTCAATTCATTTTAAGGGCAAAAGTGTCACTGGGATTTGCCCAAATGTAACTTAATTTTAATGCATTTAAAATCAAGTTATAATCGTGTGGAGGGCCGGCTTGTTTTAATGTCGGGCACAGCGCAGACGCGCTCAGCGATCCGAGCAGGAACAAAAGAGGGTGTGTTTTCAAATGAATGACTTTGGCACAAGCTCACCACGTAGGCGTGGCAGTACATGTGCGTTTGACGCGGGCACGCTGAGTACACGCAGTGAATTTATGCTGGAATTCAGCTGTCTTCGCGTGTGCGCCAAACGCGTAACCCTGGAGCCCAGTTGGAAATCTTTTCACTATCCTGTCTTTCTTTCGCCAGTGAGGGTGCACTCCAACTAGGGGCGTGTCTGTGGCACCATTGATCTCCATTAAAGACTGGATAGGACATCGCGTCCAAAATTTTCAGGAGGGTAAATAACGAGCGTTGCGAATATCGTTGCGTGTATTTTCAAATCGAGTTTTTCAAAAACCGGTTGAGGTTTTTATGTTTCAATCGTCAGATTTCGAAGAAAAACTGAATTCTGCACCCGGAATGGATAAATTTGGAAAGAATAATGGTTGGGGTGTGCGCAGCAGTGAATTACCGGAGATTAACGTCAAGTTTGGAAGCAGAAACAGAAGGAAACGAGAGTCGTGTCAGAAAGTTTCTCAAGTTGTACTTTATAATGCTTAACTTTAATCCTGTATAGACCGAGTAAGAAATTTATGACAGTCTATCTAGCCTATCAGGCTTCGTAGGTTTATATGAAACTTCACTAACTCGAAGTTGGGACCGTCTTAAATGTTACTTATAGGCAAAAGTGGTTTTAAAAACTGAATGACTAATTTGTCGTTTATTTTCCCCAGATTTCACCGGAAAAATCTCCAAGACAGCTATGATTTGTGTTTTTCGGATCTAAAGACGCCTTGAACCCAAATTGTGTGACCGACGATGTGATATGAGTGACAGAATTCTTCTTCGGGGCAGACATGATCCGAAGTGAAAGTGCTAACGTTTCTGTTGAATGAAGTTACAAACCAGGGAATTCAAAGTCAACGCAGTTTGTTTCCACTTTGTTTTATTTGCACTATCATGAATCAAATGTGAAATAAAAATGCCAGAAAAATGTTGGATGATGATTGTTTTGGGTGTGCCCGCTGGGGTGCACCAGTGGTGCGCACTTTGGAAGGAAAACAGCTTCTTATCTGAAGTTGCCTTAACTAACTGTAACACTGCTCGGTAGACGATTCCGTGCGCTTCTTAAGCTTCGGAGAAATGCCTCTCAACGAAGGAGAATTTAAAAAAAAATCATATTCAGTGTCCTCGCCAGCTTCCGTTTCGGAGGTCGCCTGTTTTTACGACAGGAGAAACGTGGCGAGAAAAGCAAAAATGTCAAATAGTCCATCGGGAACAAATGCTTGCTCTTCGGAACTACTTTCTTTAGAAATCTGTCTGTCACAATCACCGCTATGCATGCAGTCGACCGAGTGATCTCCGACCATGTTTTCTTTATGGCTGCGTTGATGGCCGAGACTGTAAATTTTACGTGGAATGGGCTTTGTTTTTTATTTAGTATGAAACTGTGTGACACTGGCAGCTACAAAGGCGCAACACAAACTATAAAGTACTGGAATTTTGGCCAATTCTCGTGTCCAACACCTCTTGCTTAAGTGAACCTTTGAGCAGGGGAACCGCCAAAAGACGGCAGTCTATAATTAAATAACATAAATAAAAGCGCAAAAATACGTGAAACATCTTAATTTTTAGCTGACTATTTCAACAGGCCTGTAACAACGCTGCTTGATATTTTTTTTCAGCGAGAAAACTGTAGGCTTTAATTTCAAATTTAGCAAAGGGAAATTTCATTTTTCTTTTTTAATCAAAAGGGCCCACGCAATGTAAGTTCAATGAACTTCATGTAAATGCTCCTTTGTGTCCCATTAGACCTTATTTTCCATTTGAGTAATGTCATTTTTAGGGCATTTCGGTTTCTTTTTTAGGTTCATAATCATATTTCTCTGGCGTAAATTTCATTTATTCTGATGATTCGTTGCAAATTTCAGTTCACGACAATACGCAACTGAGCAATGTTTCCTTGTGAAGATATTTGCTCGGCAAAATTCACAATTTGAACAGAGAACTGCCCAGAGTAATAGTGTTCTTTGAGGAAAACCGTTGAAACTATTAAATGTTCATAAAAAGTGCACTTTTCAATACGGGGATGCAAAATAGTTTTTTAACATAATAAGGCTTTTTATGTGAAAAAAAAAAGTGGGAAAATCAAGTTAAATTATAAATTCACAAAAATCAGACACTTCGTTCTGTAATATATAAATAAACTATTTACGTCAAGCCAACTTTTCATTTTTTGGTAATTCTTGAACCAGAAAAGGGACTATTTAAAGAAGGTCTGTGCATTCGATGTGAGCCGAAGTCTGACTCCTCGAACCCAAACATAAATACTCTGTTTTTTCTTTCAACTTTTTTCCAAGATATTGCAACAAAAAAGACGACAAAAGTTGGATATTTGGATGAAAAAATATCCCGCAGTGTGATTTGACTTCATCCTTGCGTATTTCACAATTTAGACTTGAGGAAATCTGTTGTGGCAAATAATTTTGCACCGTATGCTTGAAAACTGTTTGTGGTTGAGTGTGAATAGTTTACGTTTTACTTTGGTATACTTGGAGCACGCCTTTCGGGTTATATTTTCGTTTTTTATGTCCTCCCCATTACTATTTTCCACCTTTTGGAAATAGAAAGTATTCAATAATTGTCTACAATAGTAAGATATTTAAAGGACAGTGAGCATCTTTAAACAGATGATGACACAAAGTGCTCGAGAGGAAAAGCTGAGCGAAATGACATGATAGGTTTCATTGTGTCCATTGTGAGACTGCGCAGAACACCTGGCGGCATTTCCTGGCCAACCAGGGGGTCTGTTGTGTCGCGTTCCTGACGGCTAGCAAGCAGGTGGTAGAACCGGTTGGTGATTGGGAGCGTCACCTTGAAACACTGGTCCCAAGGGTCTGCCGCCAACTGTTATTGATTTGAATCTAACTTTGCTGTTGCTGCATCCATCTTTTTGCCGGCTTCTTTATTCGGACAATGTCCGTTCTTTGTACTTTGAATATCACAATCGATGTGTCAGGCACTGGTGAAACTCTGAGCCTCGCAGATATGGTAGAAGCTATTATTCAATTCAATATAAGTTATTATCCCATTAGAGGAAATTCCTTTGGCCTTTTTACACATAATATAAAATTTAAGAGTCAATACAGTTGATAGCCACATAATAAAAAGCTTATAATACTATACGATAAACAGATCACTGTACCGATTTTTTTACATTAAAAAGGGTCGCATCTTACAGTGTAAGAATTCTGCTGTTTGAAACAAAATATACACATCCGATAATCAGGTGAATAGGCCTTTTTCAGAAAACATTGACTCAGCGAAACCCTGAAAGCGTTCTTCCTCCATTTTTATCTCCTTTCTTCTCTGTCCATGTGACATGGCACACGGCTTATGTCTTTTATTGCCTCCCCGATTCTAATTACATCCCCCAACTCATCCCCATCTGTTGAGACCCTCCCCAGAAACTCGTTAAACAGTCGAGGATAGTCACTCCTCATTCAATGACGAAATTTAACAGCATCCTCATTAACCCTGTAATTATCTCGTCTTGAGGAGGTTGGCGAAGAATTACGTAACACCGACAAGGAAAGCAAATTTACGTCTGTGTCCTGGTTTATCATAATCGGACGTGCCTTACCGCGCACACGGCCATCTCCAAAAACTCATTAACGGTACTACGTCGGGTATAGGATGTAGATTCAGTGTTGTTTATGCTGAAGCTTTCTAACAACAAGAAAACAATACCAAGTAATTATTAACTAGGCGTTGGTAGCTTGCAGCTTGTTTCCGGCGAGCGGTTCACATGAATCAAAGCAATAGCTGCCACTGTTAATTAAAATTGTCAGCAAGGTGTACTCCATGAATACAAAAATTAATCATTTCCCGAGGTGTCATGACTGAGTAGGCCTACTGTATTGCTGAGTGCGGAGAAATTAACCTCAAAGTGGGAAAGAAAATACAAAGTTGAAGGTGCGTGCAGATATCGTTGACAAAAAATTGCACCGATTGAATTTATTAGGGACCATTAAATATAATACTTAGTCCTATACGGGACATTAAAAAAATAAACTGTGAGTTTATAACACCATTTTACGTGGATATTTTATCTTACACACTTAAACATCAATGTAAATTTCACCTTAGCATGTTAACGGAGGCATGAAGAGCGTTCTTGAAATAATACACCGACTGGTGACATAACCATCCGATTTACTCCAGGTGCACTTGCATCCTGTACATGTACCATCTCTAATCTGCCGATTGGTATTTTATGTGGTGCTGCGCCTTGAGTACAAGCCAATTTTCAAAAACAGCTGATACCAAAAGGCAAATATATCTTCATTCAAATCATGAATAAACAAGCTCTGTTAAAATTTGACGCCGAAAAAAATTAAAAGAGATCCTCACCTCACCGCTATGGATGGCGAGAGAAAGATGATAAGCTAATTTACTCACACATAATTAAAAGAAAACCAAAATCCTGTATTTTGCGATCCATTTCATAGAGCAGATTTAAAATCATATTTATGTATACAGCCTTCATTCAAGTCATAACGATCGGTTTCTTCATAATGTGAATTAAATTTAGGATATCGATGTCCACCCCAAATAATTATGATACGTTTGTTGTGTGCAAATAAACCTCGAATTTTAGGCAAATAATCTTACCTAACACAAACACGAAACACTGGCAAGAGTTAATGCAGCAGCGATAATGTTAGATGATGCGGAGCGTGCATAATTTATTTTCGAGAGATTCTCCCGCTGACGTCCTTTTTTGTGTTGTTTCTCGAAACGCTGTTTTATACCTGTGACATTCATATTCGATTTTTTTTTTGTACGAGAAAAATAAAAACTACACTCTTACGTTAGAAACTAAGAACGTTTTTAGATGGGAAGTATAGATATATAATAAGTTGACAGCCTCTTCCCGATTGTCGAGGGCTTATTTTTCAGGACTCCATTCGAGAGAGACTCCATTGTTCGAATTTGAATCCTTCCACTGCCGTGGAGAACTGCTAGTGATGCAAACGCTAATGTGGCCCCAACCGAGATATATACACACAGATTTCACATCGAGTGGATAACCTTTTCCGTCAGTGACGTACCACAGATCACGATTACGGTGTTTTACATCGGATTTTTGCTCCTTGTTTGGACGACAAAATGTTGTTGGTAGAAAGTCAACAAGAACATGTACAGTTCATTCCAGGGTATTTACGGTACACTGAGCAGTACACCGGTACACCGTTTCATTTTTTCGTTCAGGGCCAGAAACAACACTTTATTTTCTGCAGTCATCATAAATAATCACACGTGCATATATGCGGGTGTCCCGTAATGGTAGTCCTATACTTGATACGAACGTACACTCGCACATGTAAGTTAGGTTATAGGTCCCTCAGATTCACCGTACCAGCGGCTAGGCAGGAGAGACTGTCGACGGGTTAGTTGGGCTGCGAGAGAGGTCACTGCACACGATATGCTGGATGATGAACATGGACTGTCGTGTATTCAGCGAATGAGCGAGATATTTCAAGCTTCCGTTTAAACATATTTACGACGAGCAAACTGGGCGCTCGTGTGTGGTACTTCAAGCGTAGTGTCGACAGTGAAATTTTGTCGGTGCTTGTCTGATGTATTTGGCATAGTTTGGCTGATGATACATTGCCAAGTCATCCCTAGCAAGTAACGCAGATTTAGAATAAGACTCACACGTAACGATTGTGATTTCAACCGGCCTGAAGCTGTCATTGAAGGGCTGAACTTAAACTTGCCATTCCTGTATGTGAAACTATGGGGTACGTGTCCCAACGCTTTGTCTCCAAGATCGATCAAAACCTGCTGTGCGGGATATGCAAGGCAGTCATGAAGGATGCCGTGCTGACACGGTGTGGGCACGCCTTTTGCGACCAATGCCTCGATACCTGGCTAGCACGACCCCTGAGCGGCTCCTGCCCACAGTGCCGAGCGTCCGTCAGCAAGTTCCAGGTCAGCCCCGTCTGGGCCATACGGGAGATTGTCAGCAACCTCACGGTCGAGTGCGATTATGGTGACCGAGGATGCCGCCTTGTGATGAGAGTGGAATCTCTGGAGAAGCACCGGGCCAGCTGCGCTTATGCCCCCGTCGAGTGCGCCGGCTGCGAAACAGTGGTGAGCCGCTATGAGCTCCCCCACCACCAGGGAGTGTGCGCCAAGATAGCGGCCACCGCCAACGAACCCGACCTAGACGAGCCCAGGGTGAGGGAATGGTCGGATCAGCTTGTGGAAGATCTAGAGGCCAAGCTCTGCAAGACAGAACAGCAGCTGAAGCAGACCAAGAAGAGGTTGGAGACATCGGAGAGCAACGGTCGCAAGCTGGAACGAGACCTGTGTGAAGCCAGACTCCAGCTCCAGCGGAAACAAGGGGAGTGCACCTTCCTGCACCTGAGCAGCAACCCGGAGTTTGACCATCAGTACCCTTACGGCTTCTCTCCCGAGAGTATCTCCAAACTGTCCCTCCTGATCGCTTGCCATTTGCTCCGAAAGCCCGACTACATGGACCGCAACCGCATCTTCAACTGCATCAAACGGTGCTACGACAGCTTCGCACGGTGTGGGTCCCACTTCGAGCACGACGTCCACATGCTGGTGGCCACCGCCTATGCTAGCAACTGGTTCACGGAGAACCAGAGGATCAACTTCCACTGTTGGCTCCAGAGCATCGCGCGGTACCGTAAATATGCCGACTTGAGTGGCCCCCCACATCCCGGCTGCACCGCTAGTGTCATCAGGAGGACCACATCATTACGAAGCTGAAGATTTAATTCTATCATCTTTTTACCTTTATAAAATGTTTTGTCAAATTGTCTGTCTATACTGATACAAGAGCAAGAAGTAATACTTTTTAATTTAACGTCTAGTACAGGGTGCAATTGGATAAGTTTGTTTATACGTGTGACCCCCCCCGCCCTTGCCCGCTTAGGAGAAAGTTAATATCAGCAGGACAGTGCCCTGCATTGAGATCATCTGAAACCTTATGATAATGACGCTCAACAAGTGTCCTCTTGAGTCCTGTTGCAGCTGAGCAAACTCACTTATTTACATCGGTGTCTTCATTATCTTTCTGCAATCTCACATATTTTCTCATTCCAGACATTATTTCGGACCTACTGTGTACGTAAGAAAGGCTTTGCAGGTACATGACACAGTGCAGTTCAGAGCGGGGGTATAAATTGGGTGGCTTCAGATTTGCAGACAATTCTCTGTTACTGATGTAGGTGTAGTTCATTGTTAAGCCTTCCCGTTAATCAATTGCCTTAAAATGAGTCCAAACATTCCAAGGTTATAAGCTGTTGTCAGCTGTCACCATGTAACAATAACCACTTGCGTTGCGCTGATGGTAGCTAGATCAATTCCACAGTGGGACCGCAAAAAGAGTTGAGTCGCTGATTCCATCGCAATTCAACATTTCATCATTAATAAATGGCTAAATTTCTCCAGCATGAGTTTGGTTTTGTTTGATGAGCTGAGTAATGGACGAGTTTTAATAATGATTAAGTATTTGTTGTTTCTACCACACCTCAAAATTGCGGCTATACAGTAAGCCAAAAGATGAGCATTTAATCAAACGAAATGTTAATATGTTGGCATCTAGTAAGAGGTTAGCACTCTCAGGATTCAGTGGATCACAACGTGAACCTGCTTTGAGCAAACCAATTTTTTAAATCCTCTTGGCCTAGCTTTTTTGCACCCTTGGATACGTCGCCTTGTCATTCATCTTTTGCCTGAGTAGCTGTCACGTTTATATTTGACACTGAGTGCTCTCGAGGAGTACGTATCATTTAGCAATGTTTGCAATTAATCTTCGTTAAATGCCCAACGGTATGAACTAAGTAACGATTAAGTGGCGGGTAGGATGGGGATCAGAGAAACCGTACAGTTTGTTCTGGTTCTCAAGTGGATGTTTAGTACTTGTGTACAAAGCACGCAGCTGTCCCCAAAATAGTGTAGTGTCACGTCTTTTCGTGTTTAACGGACTTATGTGTGTAGCGCCTCAAAAGGCTGACAGGGAAAACAGCTATACTTTTTTTTTTGGTTACTGAATTGAGCAAGAAAACTAACATCGTTATGCTGAATATACAAACATTCTGTGGGGTTGAAATGGCATTGCTCGGGTAGGGATCGATCCTTGGGGATGATACGATGGATGATATGAGAAGAAGGAGATGATGTTTGTGCCATTTGTACCATTAGACGTGTGAGAGAGTCGAGGACTATAAAGATGTAGATCTGTGACACCTTTAACCCACCATGCAAAGACAGAGATCTCCACTTCAGGAAACGAGCGGAAAAAGCTCGTCATTTTTGTTCAGTGTGACAAAAGCCTTTCGATGCTCTTGTGAACCCCAAAATGCTCCTTCCATTTCAGGTACATGTAGATGTGCACGTGGGGCTCACAACAGGTAGAGATAAAAATTGTCTTATGTCTTGAAAGGTAATTACGTGTTTGAACGTTGCTTTGCCTTTTCATGTTACACTTTGCATTATCGAAGACTGTTTTCAACAACAAAATCAGGAGAGATAACTTAACCTGGAATACTGCAAAAGGGAAATGGGAATTCATGCAACCAAAAGACCTTGTTAGGACAAATCAGGAAGTCTGGTAGCTGTTTTTGTGATATGATATGTAGGTACGTTATTGTGTAAACTAAAGAGCTGAGCCAGTGTCATTATTTATATTATAGACTCATTAAATCGGAGAAATATTGTAATGCCGAGTGCACAATTTGCACTGAAATTATTGTGCTGAATTTGTGACTTTTTTAGCTTTCGTCCTCAATATCTTTGATGGTGAATTACTTGTTGATTCAGATAATGTGTTAATTTGATAAACATTTTATGGCACAGGAAGGAGTGGTCATTGACTTTGTTTGTAGATACAGTTTACATTCGAGAAAGTATATTAGGAATTTGCTTTGATTTTATACATGTACATCCATCTTCTAGCGCGAAATTGTGAGTTGTACCTTGTCAAGTACCACTCCCTGACGAATGTGGATACATCAAAGTATTAATCACAATCATTACATATTACCGTAACAAGTGTATAAATTTATGGACACCCAAAGAGTGCAACTGATTTATTTAAAAGTGGCATCATCAACTAATATCTGTCCAACACGCAGCAACAGCCTATGTTATTAAGTTAGCTTTGCGTCACAGATGTTAATTTTAAACCAGATTTTGTGACTTCTATCCCTACACCGATTACGTTCACACTGTATCCTCAGTGTGCTCCAAGAGCTATAGCCTTCAGCCTGACAGCTTATTCTAAAGTTTCAGGGAAAATCTAGGATTTCATAGCAATCAAATTTCCACAAGAGTCTTTCTTGTTGGAACTTGTCATCTGGACGACAATGGAACAATCATTTACTGTGCACTGCTTCTGCCAGAGGCTCACAAGGTAACGCATGAGCGTCGGGGACGCGTTCTTTTAACAAAAGAAGAAAGAATTTCATGGCAGAAGTGCGTCAGTGAAAGCTAAACAAAACCTAAAGTTCTATATTTTGCACAAAAAAAAAATACTCCGGGTTATTTTTCACTATAGCGATGTCAAGGTGCCCCTTCTTTGTGCGGAACCTTTTCAGTGTCTGGTTCTCACAATCTGTACCCTGGCAAAGTAAACATTCGTGAGCAATGGATGCAGGTTCTGTGGAAAATGTTGTACATGTATCCAGCTATGTTCAATGTGTAAACGAAACAAATTACATTACTTAATGAATGGTGCTCAGCCTTTTTTTTTTCGTATTAAGAGTAGGACTTTGCATCCATGGCTAAACAGGATATCGATCATTCATTAATGATTAATTCCAGCCATTAGAGTGATAATATGAAATTTGCCACAAGTTTCAAATACATTAAAGTGACTCAAAATACAATCTTTGCGATACAAGACTGATATTGTACTGAAATCGCTGTTGCGGCGAAATGCGCGTACTGGAAGAGAGGCGAGACGATTGCGATCATACAGTTTGATATTTTCCACTTCTCTGTATAAACCTGGCGTCCGGTATCAGTTTGACGTGCACTCGACAGCCACACGACACAGGCATAGTTTCCTCTGTGTTTATGAAAAGACAAGATTCTTGGATGTTAGAGTCGCCAACAAGCCCTTCTATAGTTTGTGTTACAAATACGGTGTATTATGTATACAGTATGTTCGATCTCACCCTCAAAGTTTGGGTCATTGATTGGCCGGTGATTGGGAAGAGACAAAAGATCTGACGCAACTCACAAGTTATTAAATCTTCTTTTAAAATCAACCATTAGGAATAGTTTGAATCATGGACTTACACAAGTTTAAAAGTTTCTTTCCGTTGTCAAAACAACCCGGATTTGCCACGCGTAGGGGGTGACATTGAAATCCTCAAATGCCATAATAAATCAAGTCTGCGCTTGTATACATCAATGGCGACAGCGCAGACGTCAAAATATGGTCTTGTTTGTTGTAAAATTTGAGCAAAGTTTATCTGGGTATGTTTTATGTTGAGGTTGAGGGGCCCCAAAGAGGTGAAGTGTACACAGGTAGGGGACTGAGCGTCAAACTGTGGTACTTGCGAGGTAACTGGATTTTTTTGGAAGTCAGAAAGTAGGGACGCCTGTTTTGCTTTCATTTTATAAACGTGAAATCAAGAAAGTGAAAGAAAAATTGAAGCATTAAAATTTACTATCAGAAGTTCCCAACAATAAATTCTTCTTGTCAAATGCCAGACCAAGATTAGTCTATTAAGTTTAAATCAAGAATAGATTTCCGAGAAATAAAAATTACAGAGTGGCAGCTGCAGAGGAGAGGGATTTTTGATCAGGTCCATTTTACCAAACTCCACTTGGTGTGGTATTTTCAAACACTATTCTGTAAATTTCACGTACGTTGCCAAACAGGACAAGGTTTACATTAAGATTGTTGACATTTGCAAAGTTTACCGCCAAAGAGCCAAAATAGCCCTTGTACAACCTCAGTATCGTACACGAACGGTAGGAGTGTATCTTTCCACGATCCTCATAAAAAACTTAGGGTGCAATGAACCTATTGAAACCCCACTGAAAACAGCGTAAATCAACAAACTTTCAGTAACACGAAAGCCGACTTTACTGGAGTTTCTCAAACAAAAATGAAACTATTGTCTTGACCCTAGCCTTTCCTCATGTTTTTTCTCTTTTGGCGGGTTAGCCAACCGACTGTTTGTCAATTATTCACGCAAAACACACTCGCTCCTCCAAAAGTGGTGGTTCAAGCTTGCTTGAAGCCATTTTTAAGCAGCTTTCCTCTATGTTCTCGAGCGCTGAGAACCATCTTCCATCCCTTGTTTATCCTGACCCATATTTCCACAATCCCTCCATTTTTTGGCCAAACAATCTCCTTTTTTTCACAATAATCTGCGGGGGCACTTTTTATGCCATTAAGGTCAGTAGAAATAATCATCCATTTGAATTAGTTCACTGCACTCTCAACTGCAGCTTTTTGGTAGACGAGCGCCCTCTACTGATGTCTTTAGACGTGTCAAGGTTCATGCGACGGAGCTTTGGGCCAAAGCGTACAGCATGATGAGTCATAGATAAATGTATATGACAAGGCCATTCTCAGCGCGCATTTGCTTTGTAATGTCCACAGCCAGAAGTAAGCAAACGGAAAAGACACACGTCAGCTGTTTGGCAATTGCACAATATTGTGACATCGACAACAACGACTGTATGCTATATAAAAGCAGCGGATACAGGTTCAGGTCACTATTTTGGTAAGGACGAATTTCCCTGGAAGACCACTTTAAAACATCGTAGGCTGAGGGTTCACTTCAATCTGCCGTACTTCTGTGTATGTTCATGTAAGTATTAAATATTTGACGATGGAACCGGTGCTTAGCAAGAATGACAATCTAAACCAAGAGACTGGCAATGGCAGCGCTTGTCTGGTTGCTAAGGCAATGAACAGGCTTGTTGCTATGGGGAACAGTAGGCCTAAGACCATAGCAAAGCTTTCGGCGACTCTGAAGTCATGTGTGGCCGTCCTTCCCTATCTAAACCCCTTGGACGCACTGGAACTTGCCAACAAACAATTACACAACACACCGCCTCACGTGGAATCCCAACATTCTACGCAGAAGGTTTACATACCATTCCTCTCTGTGGACGAGAGTTTCTGGGCTGAGGTAAGGCGTGACCTTCAATCGGGAAAAGAACAATTTACGTTCCCACCCAGCGAGAGCACCGAGGAGAGCATGTATGAAGGCGTTCTTCGCTGGCTTCAGAGCGACCCCGAGGGCACGAAGGAACGTCTGCGGGAGGAACTGTATCGGCGCTGTCGGCAGAAGCATCACCTTGAGGCGGGTTCGGTACTCGAACGTCTTGAAAAAATGGGTTTCGTGAAAGTGACAGGAGACGGGACGGTTAGCTTCCTTCTTCCTTCACCCAGGGACCTACGTGTTCTGAAAGAGAAGATGCAGATACATACAATTGACATATGCCAGATAACATCCCTTTGGAGTTCGTTAGGCCAAAATAATTTGGTCCGTCTAGTAGCCGCCTACCAATCAAAGTACCCGTTCCTTGAGAACAATTCAGACACATTCTTTTTCGGCGACTGGAGGTTCCCAGTGCCTATCGACGTGGCAGAATTTTACTCCTTGTGTCTCTTGAGTGAAATCGCCCCCAAAGACAGGCCTCGAAACAAGATAGATTTATTGCGAGTTCTGGAGCCAGTGTGCCACTGCACGTATGTTATCTCACCTTCCAGTGTGTTGACGAAGTATGAAGGACAGATTGAGCACAGACCGACATTGAAGGCGCGAAGGAGGCGTTCATATTCTACGAGTCAGTTATATTTACAAGAATTCGCTATTGGAGTCCACAAGAAACGGAATGTAATTCTGACACCAGAGGGACTTCTTGGTGTGACTGAGACTTCTGAGGAAGAGTTGAAAGAGCTCAGTGAGGCTGGTTGTGCCAAGCGAAAGTGTGTCACCGGCCAGTCTCGTGAGTTTGCAGAGATGCTGATAAGGCTCGTCCAGCCACTGCTGCAGCAGCAGAACGCCGTCCTCATCTTGGCAACGGGAGAACAGAAGAGCCAAATAATAGGCAGAGTCTCAGACTGGCTCGATAGTTACCGAGATAGCAACACGCAGGAAGGAGAGGCTGACAACGAAGTGTCCTCAGCCGGTGCCCAGACTCACTCTCAACCAGTCCCGATCAGTAAAGTCAAGCGCCAACTGTTATCCTGCTGCATCCTCAAGATGACCACGGTCCCTGTGTCGTTCATTATTACACAGCTGGAGCGCCATGGCTTCATCAGCGTCGATTACGAGGATCCCTCCGAGCCTGTGACCTACTCCATCCCAGAGATCTCAAGGGGAGCAATAGCAACCTGGCAAGTTGCTGCGTCTGAGTTCTGGACGACATCGGTTGAGAGATGCTACTCCAAAATCCTCTCCAAGTATTTTCCGCCGGAGGATGACATCCAGAAGTGGAAAAGTGTTGGAAATAGGGTTATATTCTCTAAAGCAAATAAATTCAGACCTGGAGATGTGCTTACAGTTGGCATGCATTTAAAACGTATGGCTGGAGTATTTTGTTATTACGTCACGTTACCCTTGATTGGGGTCACGATTGCGTTGCTCATCTCCTGGTTTGGCATCTTTAGATGAAGCCACTGAACAGTAATCGTTTGTGTGAGACTGAAGTGATGTCGTCCAGATAATGACATTAACGACTGGAGGTTAATTTGATTCGTCAATTATCAAAATTTAGTACAGTAGTTAAGAACGCCCACGAAAATGTCTCTTTATTGCATTAATGACTGATATTTTATATGGCTATCGTGTTTGTTAATGAGGTGAAAATAATTTAAACTTCTTTATTTGAAACTAAAGTTTAATGATACACATTTTCATCAGACAAGAGGATTTGAAAAATTTCGATGAGGGTTTTATTATTTAAATATTGCAACCATGTATACCTAGTGTATTTATATGTACAATTTTACAGAATGAGATGTAAAGAAAATTATCGCGGGAAGTGTTATAAGTTTTATCACAGCGTCAATTGTTGTGTTTTTTCATCTTAAAGCTTGAAAAGGTTTTTACAAGCTAAAGTTTTGTTATTGTTCGGAGATGCAGATTTAATAGTTTCAAGAAGTGTAAAGTTTCAGCAGATTATTTTGGCCGACAGTGTCATTTCCAACATTCATATTTTACACAGAATTCGGTGGGATGCAACCACATACTTCTCATTGGGTAAAGAGATGGTTGAAATAATTGGGCTTTAAAGCTTGTTTTGTGCAGATATAATGGACTTGTTATTGGTTATCCAAACCCTGCTGGAATAAATCAAGCCACTCTGGTACTTTTGAAGGAAGCTGAGCCAGAAAAGTAAATAGGGCTTGGAAGTTGACCGCTGGTGGCGCGCATCCTGAACCCTTGGATAGGAAAAATAACATCCAACAATTTTAGAATTGTATTTTTTTCCCGTTAGCTTACTTCTTAAAACGTTACCTCGGAAAGAGGCCTTTGTAAAATATTTGCTAGTATTTTAATCAGGGGTGGATCCTGGAATTTTTCTTAAGGAGGGAGAGATTTTTCTCAATGTCTTATTTTTGCGCACAAGCGGAAAGGATGATGAAACATTATACATAACATACATTGTTTACAATGGTATTGGTGCACTTTAGTTATTTTTCCTTCCCAAATTTCTGAGCAGGGAACATCAGGGCGCATTGGCCTCGAGTAGGATCCCCTCCCACCCTATATTTATGTCACTGCATTTGGGTCAGAACCTGAAACAAGATGACATTCTTCAATTGTAAATTGGAATCAATTGGAGTGCGCAATTAAAGGCCATTACGGCACTGAAAAATTCATGCAGTAAGAGAACCAAACAAACAGTTAACGTTTCAATATAAATCCACAATTTGTGTGCTGCCATTAACTACATGACTGCAGTTGATAAATTAACAAATAAATTAGCGTTTTCTTTATGCATGTATAAGATCAAGAGAAGAGGGCTTGCGATTAGGCTAGACTTTGCATTAAATACGTATGCAGACACATACGCATTAGGATTGAGACCTTTCGATTATGTTCATTTGTTATCCTTTCTTCTTGGGGGGAGCCCTCGCCCTGCGTTCGTAGTGGATAAACCCTTGTGCATGCCAGACAATGGCTACATGCGCTGTTTGGCATTAAGGGTTTATCCACTATAAACACAGGGTGAGGGTTCGCCTCGTTTTCTCTGTTTTCTCCGAATGACGCAATCTACATTCAGGAATTGCATCTTGGCATGAACAGAAAAAACCCACTTTAGCTTAATATAGTTGAACTCTGAAGAAAAATGACACTGCGTTCGATTTGGTTGCTTCCATATTTATTCGAACAGATAAAAATCAAAATGTTTTCCTTAGAGGTGCTCTTTAAAACCCCCAATGTGAGGTGTAACAAGTGCCTTTTTCACACGAGCGCTTTTTCCTCTAGCGTCACATTGACCGTCAATGACTGAGCTGCCATAACAGAGCGCCGCCTATTGGACGATATTGTCAAGTTTGGAAGGCACCGTCATTAAAAAAATTTGCTTTCTGATTTTGCGGGGGTCAGAAGACCGGTGAAAACCCCTCCTACCTTTTGGCAAGCATGCCATGCTGAGCGGTTTTTTTTTTTTTTTTTTTTTTTGATTGGTTGGTTTTTTAACATCCCCCACCAAAATGAAATTGTCACGACATTAAATATGGGATTTCAGAAGCTTATTAATCTCAAGCAGTTTCCACAGACGATGGAGAATGGGAAAATAGATTCATGTTGATCTGAGGTTTCAGTTTCTATTTCTGGATGGTAAGGAAAAGCTTCAGAAGTTCTCTACAAACAATGTTAATGGCCGGTCAAATAGCGCATTCAATCCAAATTAAGCTAGACCATCCCGTAAAAGCCTCAAATCATGGAAAAATTGGCTCTCCGTAGATCTACTTATTTACAACATGGAAATAAAACCGAGGATTTTAGAGGGTCTATGGTATAGGCCCTATGCTCAAACCGTTCGGCGCATGCGCTTCACTTATTACGTATGCAACATTAGACAAGGAACCGTTCTGCGTATCCGATATTTTCGGCTGCATCCGAATCTGTTGTCTAGAGCTAGGTCTAGGTCTTCCCTCCATTGGAAATGTGTATAGATGCGTAGAAAGTAGACCTAGCCGTATCTCTGGAAGCCCGTTTTGGACACGGCCTTAGCTGGTCCCTCAACATCATTATGTACGAGGACTGAACGTGAGGTGCGCAAGAGTGATGCCACACTAGCTACATGAATTTGAAGTGCACCCAGGGTTGAGTCAGATTTTTCCGATTCAAAAGACGACATATTTGGCGTCTCCTATACCAGTCAACGTTTTATAATGGCGTGCAGTTGGAGCTATGAGCATCAAACACTACAGCCAGTGTTTTCTCAGCAAGCAAGGACAACGGCAGTCTCACACGAGCTACCGAAAAAGGTACAGGAATGTCTCATCGAGAAATCATTGTGCACGCTCATGTCCATTGGCAGACAGGGCGTGCCAAAGTTCAGATCGGCGCTCCAGAATGTTTTGAGTCATTGCACTGCGGTCGCACCGTACATGAACCCGCTGGATGCGTTGGCAGCGGCAAACCAGGCAGTCCCCAGTCCCGATGCTTTGGTTAACATTCCCTACCCAAAGAAACGGGTATACACAACGTTGGAAACAGCCAGGATAGCGCACAGATCACGACGTTTTAAGAAGTTATTCCAAACGCCTGATGCCGTGCTGGTGGCGGCACCGATGGACAGCGATTTGGAAAAGAAGATGATGGATGATGTCGTTGCTTGGATTAAGAGCGACCCTGCTGGCACAGAGGAGTCGCTGGTTGAAGAACTTATCCAGAAAAGCGAGAAAGAAATTAACGTCCATTGTCTTGTCTTGGAAAATCTTGTCAAAAGGGGGATTGTCTCAATAAGTGGAGATGCTCTTTACTTTTTCCAGTCAGTAACCAACCTCGGCGACTTGATGAACCAGCGTCAGCCAACGAAATTAATCGAAGTTACAACTGCACGTGTCTTACAGAAACTGAAAGAAATTCCACCCGCTCGCTTTCCCTTGACGTGTTCGGATTTCGCTGAAATTGTCCAGCCGGTATGTAAATGGGTGATCACATTACCACCAGCTCGACTCTTTGGAATGAATAGGAGACGGATCAAGCACAGGGAAGTTGAAGACAAAGAGGAAACATCAGGTACAAGGACTGTTGAGCCCCAGACAGGATCAGGCCCAAACTCTGCTGTCCAACAGAACAAGAAGCTGGAGTTTGCCATCGGGGTGCAGCCTGGAGAGAATGACGTACGTCAGTGCATTTCCATCACACCAAAGGGACTGGTCGGTATCGAAGCACCAATCACAGACCGAAGCGCAGCTGCCGCAGCATCAGAGTCGGACGATAGCAACAGCAGGATGCGTGCCTTAGGTCAAACCAAAGGCCTCTCCGAACGCTTCGTGAACCGTTTGACCGTCGCTGTACGCACCCAGAATGCTGTTCTCGTGCCAGCCAACGACCGAGAAAGGGAGCACATCATCTCCAAAGTGACTGAATGGGTTGCTTCTAAACGAAAGGCAGGCGGCGCATCTGCTTCGTCTCCGAACCCGCCACAGCAAACGGTACCCAGCTTACAAGAGGAGCTGGCTAACAAGTGCGTAGGCAAAGTGCGACGTCTCAACCCCTCAACCATCACCGACTTGCTCCAAAACGCGGGGTATATCAAAATTGGTCACAACAACCAAGTTACCTACCGTCTGCCAACCGACCACAAAGACAGGACACCCTCCTGGCAACAGCAAACAGTCCAGACAGCCATCGAGAGCTGCAGATTTTCACACCTGATGAGACAAGCTTACCCTCGTCGTCAGAAACGACAGAAAACTCGCAATCCTATCTGCGATATACCGATTTACTTCAGTTGGCTAGATCTCCAAATGATTCAGTGAGAAGGCTGCTTAAGGCAAAAACATTGTAAAACACATCTCTGAACCCAATTTTTTGAAAAATGAATTGTCAGTTTGATTTTTTTCAAAACATATTTGACAGTTGATCACACTGAAAAAATTGAGGGTAATTTCTTATTTTAAAGGCATTTTATTCATGCATACTGTGGTTACTAATGCCTATCAGTGTTCTTATCCTGAAGCATAAATTACAAAGCAGTGGAAAGTGGGGGGTTGGGTTGACTCGCGCTTTTCAAAACTTGTCTATGGCATTGGGTATAACCAGCAAGAAATGAGACAGAGGGCTACCCCCCCCAACATGTCCAATCGCTATACACACTCTATAGACTATTGTTTATACCTAACACCCCCCATGTCTGAAAAGCATTCCCCAGATTCCAGCGAGACAATGACCAACACAAAACGGTGGGGGTGTCTCTCCGTCACATATCTTGCTTCATGTGGGCATGGATGAAGCTGCGTTTAAGCTCCAGAACGGTGCTTTAAAATAATTCGTTAAATAACAGTACAGCTTTCACTTCTGTTCCCTTCTTTTGTTTTCATTATTCATTCAATCTCTCTTTCCACTCTTTTCTTCTGCTGTTTGGCTGAGGTTGGTACCGTCCCTGGCAAACTTAAATGATATATGCATATCTGATGAAGAGTTCATTACTCCTCTTATCAAGTAGATTTCCGTATACGCGTACTACTGTAATCAGTGTTATTACGCTTACGTAGCGTCTGTGCGTAAACGAGATACGCTTATCAGGTTATCTCTCTTTTTGAAACTTTTAGAGCGTCGTCGAATCAACTCTTTAAAACAGCAGAAAAGAAACAGCTAAACTAGTTCAGACTAGCAAATGTATCATAATCATTTCTTACATATGTATGCATTGTTATTACAATAATAACTTTAATGGGTCCAGGTGATGAAGTTTTATTTTACTCCTTTTGGAGTTAAATATGTATAATGTGCACTTTGTAGACATTTAAAATTGACAACGCTTTTGTTAAAAAATATAAAGCGCTGTTGCTGTGATGTCACTCGGGAAAGACTTTGCTGAGTTCTGAAGGTTTTCTATTCAAATGGAGAATACAAAATATAATATATATTATTATACGGTATATATTATATACATATGATGTGTTCAATCATAAATGTATCATTAAAGAAAATGAAACTTACAATAGCAATGTTCCAGCAGTGTTTTGAGCAGTGCAACATTGAGGTTTTCTTCCTGGAATGACATCACAGTTTTCTTCATGAATATAGAAATTCCCATTAGAATTTTAAAAAAGCACGAAGATAGCATCAAAAATTAAACTAAATATTAGATTAATTGCAAAACGAGGGTACATTGTCAAGGATTGATAAATAATTGCATTCCATGGACCTAATAATTTTATGATTGTGTCAGTGTTAAAAAATACAGTTTTACGGCCGATAGCCAGTTTTTCCGTGACAAGGACGGATCCTTGCAGTATGGGAGAGGGCGGAAGGGACCATGCCCCACCCCAAAACGGAGTCATTTTTATAACGACAGAGAGGCATTTTTGTGTATTTCATTTTTCGTCCTTAAAAAGCGTCTAGAAAGCCCCCAAATGTAGCCTCAGCCCACGCCGATTTACGTTAAAACTTCTGTTGACCCCAAAACATGCTTAGCCCCCTAGAAATCTGGTCTAGATTCGTGTGTGAACGATTAGAAGTTACTGAGTCGGAGCAAGCAGTGACCATGAAGGGAAAGGAGAACGCATTACTCTGGTAGCAGCATGTTCCCAATTGTCCTCATTGCTAGTTTATGCTACATTTCAAAGCCTGTTGTATCGCTAACTAGTGGTTGATAAAAATTAATAATAACTAAAAAGTCATCACGATCAGCATTCTCAAAACTTGTAAAGACACTGAGGAATAAACAGATGCCTCAGTTGAAAGTTGAATGCTGGGGATGTTTAATTCTTCTGCAGTCTGACGATTGTCAGTATTATAGCTCCATTTAAATAATAATGTGCCGCTGTTTCCATAATGCAAATGCGCCCTCAATCTTATTGCAAGGCCTGGGGATTTCCCTTGATGCGCAACATCGTGTTAGCATCTAAACGTATGCGAAATTCAGCTGGTTCCCGCTTTGGGTAAAGCGAAATTTAAAGTATCGGTACACCCGCGGACACACATTATCAAGGCATTGATATTCATATTGTTTCTCCTCGACTTGGGTGTATTTGCTGTATATTAATATTTGCTCATTATTGCACAGGTATACCGAGCAAAACTGTGACGAGAATTTCAGCTGTTCGTCATGGCGTCCAATGCGATCCAGAGTTCAGTGCCAACGCCGTTGAACGGACAGATACAAACGATGAGTTCTCTGACGAACTTCCTAAAAAAAAACCCAGGAATGCCTCCTGGATAGATCGGTTTGCACGCTCTTGGCAAACCGGGGGCCGGGTAGGAAGAACAAGCCAGTGCTTACATGTAAATCTGCTCTACATAATCAGGCTTTGAGCCACTGCACAGTATAGTACTGTACATGAAACCGCTGAATGCGCTGGCTGTGGCTAACCGTCGAGATATTGCAACAGCAATATAAGAGTATATTCTCTGAGTTCATTGCGATGGTAAATAAAATGGAAGAAATTTCAAGTTAATTATTTCTGTTTCTCGAAAGGAGTCTAAATTTAGCCTTCATGTATTTTGGATGAAAAAACTTCCTGTTTTGCATTTGGGCTAATTTCATACGAAAACATAATTTACCCACAAGCCAAGTTGAACTCAGTCTGCTTATAAGGATTCAAACCCTTCAGATATCGCCGTTGTGCACTTTTTCAGGAACTGAACCTTAATGAGTTGTTAGAGTAACTAGTTACGGTCATTTTGAAAGCAATTTGGTAACAATCAAACAATGATGCCGTTCCTGGGAAGCACCCTTTTTTCTGAGACAGGTCATCAGCCGAAAGGTATACTTTTCCCACTGCCCTACTCTGTGCACGCGGGCTAGCACACATGTACAATATGTAGCCTTGAACTTCAAATGACCGTAACAACAAAACCGTGCGTCTGGTCGAGTTCAAATTTCACACTTTACATTAATAAGGAGTGCGTTTACATGCATGCCAATTTTCAAAACAATCGAGCGTGGCACAGCCGAGTTCTTGGGGCAGAATCCTCCCCCCGGCTTTGATCACGAGATGCTTTCACCCCAAGTTATTGCTGGCACTAGCTCAAACTGTTAACTTCTGTTCAGGGGTGCTATGAAGTGTTGATCTAGTGCCACTATTTTCCTAAGTAGCGATTTGCCTTTGTAGTGAATGTATATCTATGGATAATTCCCCATAGTTGTCAAGCATTGTGATCACTCGAAAACCAGATATTCAGCACTGAAGAAAAATAAGCAAGTGAAACGAAATTGTAGCATTCAAGTTGTCGTACACGTAATCCCTTCCATATGACTAACTGGCACCTTTGTAGTACATATAAATTTTCAGAAAGGAAAAATTCAGCCGAAAATGTCGGTGAGACACTTCACTCCGGCGAAAAAATGAAGCTCCAGTGTCGTGTCTGATGACAAAAATAATTTTTCAACCCCGACGTAAATAAGATATTGACATGGTGTGTCGGGGAGTTGTAGCGATGATTTCGTACACAAAGCCGTGTTGTGCCCACGCTTTATTCAAACCCTGTTCTAATCATATTCGCAGAAGCTCCGGTTTACACCGGCCGTGTCTGCCTGCTGGCCTCTAGGGCAAAAATTAGCATAGGCCGACGTCAATAAAGGATGACCCCCGACGCGTTCCGTTTGCTCAGAATGGGGAAGTCCCCAGTGAGAAATGCGCCTCTCACGGTAATCGAACGCAGTGCAGTTTCTGTCGCAGCACGCCCATATGTGATTTACAAGTATGAAGTATGATTCGAATAACAAAAACGTTGTATAAATTTTTGCCGTTATCAGGTCTGTAGCCTACGCTCTTTTTTGCCTTTTGAATAACCCAGAAATGGCGTTTCGCAAGAAAACGAATACAGAGTTGGATGAACTGCCTAAAGAAGCCCAGGAATGCCTCATGGAAAAGATGTTGTGCACGCTGGTTGCAATGGGACAGAACAGGCCAAAATTCAGAACAACTCTCCAGAATGCATTGGGGCCTTGTACGGCACTTGCACCCTACGTGAATCCGTTGGATGCACTAGTCGAGGCAAACGAGGCATCCACTGGACCGGCCGTTTCGGTGATCGTTCCCCATGCGAAGAGGCGGGTCTACACGGTGCTTGAAACGGTGAAGAAGGCAAGTAAAGCGAGGTTGGAATCCAAAAAATCGGAGGGACGGAAGTATGAGTTGGCACCGCAGCAGAGCGATGTAGAGAAGGAGATTATGAACAGTGCCATCGAGTGGCTGCGAAGCTGTCCTGAAGGTACCGAGGACTCGCTTGTAGATGAACTCATCCAGAGGCTCGAGAAAAAAGTAGACAGCTCTAGGCTTGTTTTGGAAAAGCTTCAGAAAGCAAACTATGTGACAGTGGATGAACATGGGGGAATAGTGTACCATTTTCTGCAAGCAGGCAGCAGTGCACAAAAGGCAGGACTGTCATCTCATCTAAGTAATGCCCAAACCCGTGTGCTCTCCCTTCTGCTTAGCTGTCCTCCAAGAAGCCGGCCATCCACGATTGCTGAATTTCTTGCTGTTGTTCAACCAATTTGCGAGGTATGGCTCACAGTTTCACCTGCCAGATTTTTCGGTGTGAACTTGAGACAAATTAAACACCGAGAAATCAAGGACGAAACCAAGAATGAATCGGCAGTGGTAACCGTAAAAATGAGGAAATTGGCCAAGCAGAAAGTAAAATTGGGGAAGGAAGCGGTAAGATCTGAGCCGCATGACTCAAAATCTGAGGGAGAGTCAAAGGTGCAGGTGAAAACCGAATTTTCCATAGGAGTTTTTCCAGGAGAGAACGATGCTCAAGACCTTATTCCAGTCACCCCAAACGGAATCACCGGTATTGAAGTCTCAGCGTCTAGCCAGGCTGCCCCACCCAAAAGGCCCAAGGAACTCTCTGGGAAGAGAGCAGATGACCCAGAGAGGATGCGTGCGGTAGGTCAAACCAAAGGCCTCTCTGAATGCTTCACAAACCGCCTGACCGTTGCTGTGCGCAGCCAGAATGCTGTTCTCGTTCCTGCTGGTAACGAGGAAAGGAAAAACATCATCGGTAAAGTGACTGAGTGGCTTTGCTCGATACGCAGCAGTAAATCCACAGGGCAGTCTGCACCCCAAACAGTACCCAAGCTCCAGCGCGAACTTTCCAACATGTGCGTGGGCAAAGTACGACGCCTCGACCCTTCAACCATTAACGCCATGCTCCAAGACTCCGGCAACATATCTATCGACGGTGATCACAAGGTGACCTACCATCTGCCTTCAGACCGCGAAGGTATTAAAAAATCCTCCTGGCAGCAACAGACAATTCAGGCCGCCGTCAAGAGCTGTAATTTCTCAAGCCAGCTCAAGAAAGCTTTCCCCCGCAAACAAAATAAGAAGGGAACAAAGTCCAGCAACACGGGTACGAAGAATCAAAATGTCAAACCACAGCGCAGCCAAGCATCAACAGCACTTTATCAAGCAGATGAATACTTCGAGGAAGAGTACTTTGGCATCGACTGTGATGGTTTCTACGATGATTATGGGGACACTGAATATGATGATTTTGGTTACGATGACTATGATGACTATTTGTAAAGAAACATGTTGGAAATGGCTTGAGCCATGAGCTTTTCAATATCAACGGTATAAATCAATTACTTTCCTTGTGCCTTTACACAACTTCATTGAAACTTTCAGTGTGCCAAGTTTGACCCTTTTAATACACTTAGAAACGACAACGTGCATTGCGACTTTCCAAAACTGTATATTTTTGCTTCTCAAATACAACACTGGAGTTGAAATAATTATCTTGAAGTGGGAACCTTGCAGGAAATTTAAATAGCATTCTGTGCCAGAGTTGCCTAAAAGGGTATGTTTCATTTTTCAGCCATTTAATGTCAATTATATTCAGTTTTAAACTGTAATTGGTTTACTGTTGAATAGTTATCATTATTTCTAATTATATGTAACTTTTGCAATTGCCATCCTGTAAAAGTTGCTTACTGGGAAGCATGTTTTAGATTGTACAAACGGCATACTGTATACAACGACACACAGAAATGTGATGAAATTGTATACAAGTACAGAAACATTTGGAGATGAAACATTTTGTCTGATGAAGTTACACTCGGATTTAGCAAGGGCTTTTTGAAGCAGAAGACTAGTTTATGTTGGTTTTTTGGGGGGCCCTGCATGTCTGAAGTATCACGTGATGGGCAAAATATGTACTATGTAGTGATAGAATAAGTAAGTGCTAGACATGACTTACCAAAATGTAAATAGCTCTGAACTAGGAGACAATATTCAAACCACATTTTTTCCTGTGTTTTTTTTCTCCTATTTTATTGACGCAGAAGTTGTGTATAATTTAGACAAGAAGAATATTATACAGTACAAAAGAGGGCATGCTTAGTAAAATCAGCACTACGGTTCAAGGAAAAAGATTAAAAAACAAGTTGTCAGTAAGTAGGCCTACTATAATTAGATAACACAAATGTTTCTTTTAGAATTTACATTTCCTAAAATGAAAAGTATTTTGTCATTGCAGACATATATTCAATAACATATTGATGTCTTAAAGTTTATCTTGCTTGCTAGTAGGGATAAGGATTTCTTAATACTTCTTAAACTAGTACATGTACATGTACGTGGGACTATATCTTGGCCGACCAGTTCAGGTCCAAATTGTAAAACTTAGTGCAATGAAAAACACAAGTCAGGAATTTATGCAGGCAATACTAAACAGCATCCCAAATTTCCCAATCTGAATACAATCGAGAATCTTTCAGATTGTGATTAATGAAATGAAGGTGGCTTGACAAACTTCATTCTAGGTCATTACTGGTTGTGAAGGAAATGCCACAGAGCGTACAGGTGTACCACTTAGGGTATCTTTACTATTATGGAAGGAGCTCAAGGAAGCACTTGGAGATTAAAGTCCCACCGTCCGTGTCAGTGCACAAGTGCGATATTTTTGTCTGCCCCTTTTCCTTTTCCAATACTTTGAACACAAAACAAAAATGACCATGAGACATTTATTACGTACATGTATACCTCGACTACAGAAGAACATTTTTACTTGAATCATTTCCTTTTCTTTGGAGTTTTTTATTCATGGCATCTTTTCCATTTACAATGTTCATATCAAGCTACATGTATTTCTGCTGGCTGTACTCATCCTACATGTCCTAAGACTGTAAAATTGTGACATTACATACATGTACGTACACGTGATACACATTGAGGAAGTTTAGTTTATTTTGCCCAAGTAGGGTAGGTAGGGTATTCACTGTTGTCACACTTTGATAAGGATGTACAAATAGCATGATTCTCATCTTATATTGACCAATAATTTTCATGTCTGTTTTAATCTGGCGCAAAATGATGGTACATGTACAGGTAGGCCTATCCTGCTTTAAAGATAATTCAATGATTGACATAGCATTGCAATTTCTAAATCTTTCACAAAAATAATGGAGGCCCCCAAACCTAAATCTACAAATGGATTTATATGTATAAAGTTTTCAACGTTTAAAGCAAAACTTAACAAAAAAAATCCTCATGAATTTACAATGTTGTGGTTATCATACTAATTCTATTTCATTAGAAATACACATACATGTATGGTACTTTGATAGACTAGCTCCCCATAGTTGTAATTTCAACTGGTAGTTACATTTTGGGGCATTCAAGCAAACGCGCCATACATTGGACTTGTACCGGTATATCTAACAGCTGAACTGCCTGAACCTTTTTACACCTCCAAAATAAATTTTATTTAAAATACACGGAGGACTGAGATTTACATGTACATAATACTGTCAGATACATGTATGCTCATTCTGGTATGGTAGCTACATGTACATGTACAACTTAGCTTTGCAGTAACAATGTACACGTTTATATACACCAATGCGATTATGATAGATGGGCATATGAATGTATTCTGCTCCACTTTCCTTTATCACAAGAGATGAGTATTAAGTAGAGAGTCTAGAGACAAACTGGGATAACTATGGAAATAAACTGGGATAACTATGGAAATAAACTGGGATTACTTTGGAAATAAACTGGCATAACTTTGGAAATAAACTGGCATAACTGTGGAAATAAACTGGGATTACTATGGAAATAAACTGGGATAACTGTGGAAATAAACTGGGATAACATGGAAATAAACTGGGATTACTGTGGAAATAAACTGGGATAACTGTGGAAATAAACTGGGATAGCTATGGAAATAAACTGGGATAACTGTGGAAATAAACTGGGATAACTATGGAAATAAACTGGGATAACTGTGGAAATAAACTGGGATTACTGTGGAAATAAATACATTCATCAGCCTGCTGTATCTCAAATGTATACATGTATCAGCGTCGTCTATGGTGTAACCACTACATGCACATACTGTGCTTCAAAAGAACTCAGCAGCAAAATATTACATGACCTTCAATATATTTCCCTTTGATAATTGGCATACATGTATTTGAGTCTAACATTTTGGCATTGTAACAGACCTAAGTGTTCACTTTTTGTTTGGATTTTCTGTCTTTCTTGAATACTGTTTAGTCACATACATGTACTTTGATTTTTTTAAAACATTCTTTTAATTAACCCTAACCTTCCTCAATCACACAGAATTAAACAGTAGTGAAGTGTTTAATTCTGTGGGGATAGGTCTGGTAGGCCCATAACAGCTGGCTTTTGCATTGGGTTTGGCATACCTCAGAAAAACAAAGTCCGACAGCCTCTGTGCACAAGTCCCATACGGGTGTTTAACTTTGCGTGAATGGGGAAGGTTAGGGCCAGCAACCCTAGGGGGGTTAGGGTTAATCATACATTTTATTTCGCATACATGTATGCCAGTGTTTGGTCCATGCCACATCTTATGTTCTACTTGATGTACCCTGTACATGTGAACATTTATCTTTGCCAATCATAATTGGATTAACAATATTTCTGTTCCTTGTTCGCTTCGAAGTCGATCATTCCCCTTAATCGTTTCCTCTTACTCCTGAACTTCTGTCTCTTTGCTGAGGGCTTGCAAATTTCGGGTGGAAATGCCTGCTTGAAGTACGTAACGTAGCACCTGCTGACTGATTGCCTGAACTCTTCAGCATGTTGCTGCCATGGCGTCATGCCTTCATTTTTACCAACAGGTCCTGCTGGTGGGCATGTTTTGGCAGCAGGCAGGGGGATGTTGTAGGTGACCTCAGGTGATTCTCCAGCATGGATGCTGACATAGCCGCTCCTCTGTAGACAGCGTACAATGCTTCCTGGAGCAATTCGCCTGGTTCTAATGACACACAATTTAATCAGCTCGTTCTGCAGCTGCTTGATGGATTTCAGTTTGTTTTGGCCTCCGTCAGCTGGCTGGTGGTGGGAGTTGACCCATTCGAGCACACGCGACACTGCCTCCTCCTTTTCGCTTTGAGATGCCGGAATGGGAACAGCATTATGGTATTTGGCCCTGGACAACAACTGCGCACTGAGAGCTCTGGCAAATTCCTTGGACGTGCCATTGGCGCGAGGTTTGTCTCTCAGAAGCCAGGTTGGTAAAGTGTCCATGGGGATTGCAGGCTCACTTGGGGAGGCACACGACTCTGGATCTGGACTCTGACAGTGAGCAATGTGAAAGTCAATGCCTAGCAGGCCTTCTGGTGTCAGAGGGATCAGCTCCTGTGCCGTGATCTCACCCACTGCAATACCAATCAAGATCTCAGTCTTCCCCTGTCGGCGTGTATGCCTTCTACCCCTGACTCTTCTTTCTGTTTTCTTAGCCTGCCTGTGTTTTACCTGTGACAAATTGCTGAGCAGAGCTTTGGAGGGTAAGACGGCAAATGTTAATCTCTGTGGTTTAACGAGGTTAAGGAGATCCTTCAGACTGCTTGGTCTGTCCTCTGGTGGAACACAGAATAGGGAATATGCCACCAGAGTATCCCTGAGAATATCCTCCAGTCCATCTCCTGGCACGGTGCAGGGGGTGGCATCCTCCGTCTCATCATACAAGTCACAACTTTCAGGGGGCTCCTCATTATGGTTACTGACCCAGTTTATGTCTGAGAATGCAATGGAGTTGCTGTCAAGCAATGTTGGGTAAACCATTGGGTACACCGTCCCCAACAGATACCACATCAGTATATTGACATCTTTATTAAAATAGGAACAGCTCTGCGACAACTGAAACAACCCGTCAATACACTTTGCGTCGCTGCTGTTATGGAGTGCCTCAAGGACTTGTGACTGTTCACCACTGAAATCTGGTAGGGAGTATGTAACATTTTCACCCTCGACTTTCAACAAACCCCTGGACTGCAGTTTCAAAATGACATCAAGTGGGCTGCGGTCCACTTCCATTTGGCAGCGTTGGTACAGTTCTTGTTCAAGTTGTTGTTGGGTCCCTTCGTGCTTGTCCCATTCGCGTAGCCACGCTAAGACACCTTGAGTGATCTCTGCCTCAATCTCCCCTCCTGGCACAGCAACATCAAAGTCTCGTTCCATCTTCTTTGCATTCTTCGGAACACTCTTCTGAAACTCCTGGTCGCCAATGTGCTTGTGAGGTGTGTAATACACTCTAGACTGGTTGTGTTGCACATTGAGCACGGGAGGCTCTGGGCATGCCGACATTCTGTTAGCAGCTTCGAGCACCTCTAGCGGGTCAACATATGGTGCCACCATAGTACAAGAACGGAGAACATTCTCCAGTTTCTTCAGTGACTTAGGTCTGCCACTGTTGCCCATGGAGACCAACATGGTCAAGGCTTTCTCAACCAGGCAAGGAGGGGTGGAAGTTTCCATGCTCTCATTTACGTCAGTCTGTGTGGACACGCATGAACAACCGGTAGGCAGTACATCCAACTGCTACAGCTCACTGCTAATATTAGTAATAATATACATGTACATGCAGCAGAAACCTACAAAGTACAAAATGCAATGATGTACATGTACATGATGTAGCCAGTACTTACGCGAGCCGCGCCGGTCGGCTTTTATAGGCCTGGGACGCACGGTTGCAGGCAAGTTCACGCGCACAGGACGTTTCCAAAACGTCAACACGTTCGTACACGTATTTTGCTGATGACTCAAAAACGTCAAAACGTATGCATGAACATCGGAACGTTTCCAAAACGTCAAAATTGTGCTGATGTCTCAAAAATTAGACAGTGAGCTCAGCCGTTTGTTCAACGTTCCATGTTGACATCGGGAGTAACGTGTCGAAGGTCACAAAATTGCTAGATAATTGCACGGCCATATCGGCTGCATTTGAGATCGAGATTGCATGGCGTTGCAAAATTGCTAGCCTTCGTTCGAGTCTGACCCGTGCAATCTTAACTACTGCCCTGCAAACTCGACATGTACATGTACAGTACAATAGGCGTACATGTACAGTACATGTACATATGGGCCTACATGTAAATGTACAATGTATCATGCGCTGTCAGCTTTGAGTTTGATCGTTCTGCAGCCATGCTCTCAGTGTATTTTTTTCGGAGGCCGTGGGTCATTTTATCCCACAATTTAGGCTAAAACCGTCAGTCTAAATAGGCCCCCCCATATGGGTCCACTGAAAAATGATATCATGTAGAATGCGTGAAATTTGAAATATAAAATCGCGTGTAAATCAACTTAAAGTATTCCTTTTTATGGGGAAAACAAAACTGCTTGTGAAGTTTTTTCTGGTAATGTACTATGGCACGCCGTCTTCTTTGAAATCGATTTGAGCTTGTATAGGGGCTAGTTGCAAAATGTTCGATCGTAGCTAGTGTAGTGACTTGTTTAGTTCCTGGAAAGGAGACCGGAATTTTTCCTCTCTCTTCTCACGGGAGGTAGGAAACCTCCATGCTCTTATATACCAGGCACGAAATGGGACAGAGGAGTGTCCCCCCCCACTACAAGTCCAAGCCCTATACACATTCCAGCCTATTATCGCTGAACACCCCCCCCCCTGCCACCGCGGTGACTTCTGAAAAGAATTTCGGACTAGATACCAGCATCATTGAAGGGCGGGGGAGGATTCTCTCTATCCGTATGCTCTCCTCGATCATCCGACATGTAGGCCGGTTTCTAATACCTGATTTCAAGATTTTTTTTCATTTCCTACAGCATCATAATCACACACGATGGTAGAACTTTTCAAGTTAATAAATACACAAATATGATTGAATGATACCACACTTAATACACTCAGTTCAGAAAGGATGCTGTAGAGGGGTACCCGATGAAAGCAATGCTTGTAGATTTGAGCCCGGTTTGTAACATTACTTATTAAATTACAAACACACACACAAAAAAAACCACAAAGACAGACAAAACAAGTAAACGTGTAGTTGCAAGTACAAGTATGTGGCCGGAAACCAGCATGGAAAGTTAAATTAAGATATAGGGCCTAAGTGTTAATTGTCTCCACTGCAGGCTTCATCATCTTTACCACCAGACTTGTAACTTTTTAGCCCGAAAATAAGTCCTATAGTACCACAAAAACATCAAATAAGATACAACAAATCGAAATACTACAGTATTTAAATTTTATTTGAACTCTTGAACAGACCATTCGGGGATTGATTTTGGAGACAGAGCCAGCATGCAGACGAAGTCTAGTTTTGAAAAACAGCCAAGCTGAACCTTCCTTCACTGCACTTCCCATCATGCACTTCTACAAAATGGCCGCCATTTGGGACTTTTTTCAACACCGAAAATACCATAACCTAAAGTAAAATCTACAGTCAGAGCCTTATTTAGCCCTTAAATATCCTTTTGAAGTATTTTCAGGAAGAAACAGCATGTACAAGTATAAAGCAAACAAAAGAGGCTCGTCACAACTTCCTCCTAAGAAGAAACTCAAGGTGGAATTGGAGCCGCCAGTTGCAGTCGTTGACCATGTTGACCGTCGTGACGGTAAGCTTGAAAGTTGGATGATCATGTTGATGTTGGGCGCGATCGGTTGACAATGTCAGTGGTCGATATGTGCGATCGCACAATCTTCGCGCGACCTACTGAGACTTGTCTGAAAAAAGTGTTTTCAAGTAGATGTGTCGGAAGTTTCTTGGACATGTTGGAAAGAGTTCTAGCTCCATATACACGATATACATAGGCTTCTGAAACTTGTAGTTAGCAGGCCAGGCCTCTGCATAACGCTAACTATAGGCCCTAGCCTATTTTGAAATAAATACTTGAGGCTCTGTGCACAAACCTATGAGAGTTGTCCAGAAAACCTAAACTAAGTGTTCTTTAAGTAAATGCTTTTGAATTTTCTTAGCTAGGGCCTAAATTTCAATTTGTTGGCCATGGTATCACAGCTGGTATTTATTAGGCCTATAGTGAGTGATAGTAATTGCATAATGTACATGTACATGTATTTTTATTATAACATAGAGCCTATGAGGGAAAATTAGTGTTGTCTGCAGGCCCATACATCTGTACATGTATGGACCTCTTTCGATTTTCTTAGCTAAATTTCCCTTTTCAGACATGTTATCGCTTTCTGATGGCTGTTATCATGGTTATAATATTTAAGGGAAAATTAGCGTAGTCCGTATATGGAATTCTGTCCGCTCATTTTCTTCAATATGAAATTGTGATTGAAATTGTCTTGCTCTGTATACTACACTCTAACTCCTCTGTCTAAATTTCACAGTCTGAAGGAATTCAAACTAATACTTGTAATGTAATAGATCAAAATGTTTCCTACATGTATGACATCCTCTCCAAGATCACTTCAAAAAGAAAACAGAAAAAAAGTAGTTCAAAAATTTATGAGCCTCCCTAACGAGGTCAAAACAAAATGTCACACTTTAATTTGATTGTTGCCGGTGTTACATGTGGAAAGATCAACTAAAAACAATCAGTCACACACGGCAGCAAAGTAATTTTAAGAAGAAACAACAAGTAAACAAGATATTTAGGACAACCAGCAATTATCAAGAAGCAGAAGCCTGAGTTGAATTAGAACTAAAAGTGTATTAATTTTGATAATAAACCAACGACCAATTGGCAAATTAACAGTTGTATAATACAAATTTATACAATTATAATAAATAAAAAATCCCTGTGAACATAAGAAAACCAAATAAAACCGGGTTGCTCTGTTGACCGGTGGGCAAGGACTGCTGCGAGGTGTACATGTAGTACATGTCTGACGGGAACTTGACTAACCGCTGGTCCCGAGGATGAGGCAGTGCTACACAGCACCACAGCACGGCGGGTACCCACCGTGCAGGTACACTCAGTTCAGGGCCAATGAAGCAATAGCCTGGAATGCCAGTACGATGATTAACAGCTTGAGGAGACCGGCCACGCCCAGCGGATTCATGAAGGTAGCTTGACTTGGGCACCGGTAGTAGCTGGTTCATTGGTGCTGTCAGCGTCTCGCCTGCCCGTGGTGGTACATGTATGTTCAACAGAATACCCGGCATGATGTTGTTGTTTTGTTTTAATGGTGCTTTCAGCAACTCAGGCTATTCGCGTCAATAACTGTACATTTATTCATACAATTTATTAATCAGCATCACATTACGGAGCTAGGAAAAAGGTCCGGTTTTAGAGGCAGGAGGAAACCAAGTGCCCGGAGAAAACCTGCGAGAGCGAGTATGGACTGGAAACCAAATGCACTTAAAGCCTGGGTCAAGCCAGGACTCGAAATTGGGCCTCACTGGTGCAAAGCGAGGAAAGAACCGCTACGCTAGCCCGCTCCCCCTCTGAGAACGGGGCATGGGAGTGTCTACCCAATTTAAAGTGTCCTAGCACATTGCCTGTTCACTCATTATGCAAAGAGTCTAATAGAAGAAACATTTTACTGGGCGTGGCCTGAGAAGATGACAATGTCAGCCCAGGAGGATTAAGGTTCAGGCTCCAGACAGTCAAGCTAATAATCCCCACTAGCTGGCCTGACCTACATGTAGAAATTCTGGAATTCAAATCCTGATTGTAACACCGGGCATACCCATGATGCCGGCCCTCAATAAACATTCCCAGTTCAGTTGGATGTTTGACTTGACTGTGCACCAACTCAAATCTTGAGACAACTCGACCAGTCTAGGACACCTTGACCGTTTACCAACTTGTCTATTAAGACAACTTCAAGGTGTGAACATGATGGAGTTTGGGACATTTGTCACAAATTGCAGATCATATGTTCGGTCAAATTTACATGTCGCATTAATTTAAAACTGGAGTCATTGAGCATGGCATGCATAGGGACCCAGTGACACAGCATGAACAAAACTAGTGGACAGTGCGTCGGCCACACGGCTGGTATGGGAGACAGTATCTGCCCCGTAGTCCGAAAAAAAGGAAAGCTCTTTTTTTTTCAGTGTAGAGAAAAGGTGTGGATGATGTGATTGTAAAGGGCAAGCACATTCATTACGTGTCAACTTGTCTCAGCTGATGATTTGTTTCAACAGTCAAGTTAATGTCTGTCCATTTGAGGCACAGATGGTCAAGTTGTTCCACCGGTTGAGTTGTCTCAATGGTCGAGTTGTTCCAAATTGAGTTGAAAAATGATTAAGTTGTTTGAGCCTCAATCCGTATACCCTAATATGTATGGGCCATACTGCAGCTTTTTTTGTTCATGTACTTGGCTCTTTTTTTGCCTCTACACCGAGTTATGGAAAAAGTTTTTCAGGACTGTGCACTTACTGGCAAGGTCATATTGAAAATAATCAAGCATGCACATCATACATGTTCATTTAAGTTGTGCATATTCTTATGCAAAATTATTCTTAAGAATGTTTGAATAAAGTTTTCACGATGCTACAAAGTTAAAATGTTGATATTCATAGAAACGTGTACAGGAACATTAAATATGACCAGAAATGGAAAAACATGGTAGTTCCATATTGGATGTCACATGACACCCTATGCACAAACTCTATTAGACTGGTCCGAAAAAGTGTTTGGAGTGTTTTCTACATGAATACCTCAATTTTTCCCTACTAAATTTTCTTTTTAGGTCATTTTATTGCTTTCAGATGATCAATAAGTGACTGTAGGGAGTAAAAAGTGGGGTCCATACATGTACATGTGTAATTATACCATTCTTTCCCCAGAAATTGACATCAATTATCAAAACATTCTACAGTACAACATACTGAATATCAAGGTTGTAGCTACGTTGGGCGGGGCCGGCTGGTGCTAGCCACCACTCAACATTACTGGCCGGCACAGGGGATGAAAATGAAGCTTGCCAGCCGGCACAAATTTATTACAATTTATACACATTATTGCAATTTTTTAGCATTGAGAGAGAAAATGAGCTGTTCTTATTTTTATGAATTTTTCAAAAACAGCCCATACTAAAAAATTCCCACAATGTAGCTACAAACCGGCTGGTTAAAGTTAATAAGTAGGTCATACACTGTAGGTGCCACTGACAATGTACAAGCACAGTACTGCATTGAGTCTATAGCATTACATGTACAGTGTGTAAGTGTACGACATGTACATTTATGTACTTCATTGTTTTGTTCTATGCAGCTTGGGAAGTTACCGTGTATGTTTTGTTGGCATGTACGTGTATTTTTGTCCTTGGTTTTAACCGAATCCAAAACTGTCAATGTATTCATATTTGTAGCATTTGATTTCACGGACTCAAGCAGTGACGATGAGCGGCCGCCATCTTTCAGTCTGAATCGCAGGGCCTCCAGCAATGAGGCCATCAGCCCACGCCCAGCCCCAGGCCAGGGCCAGTCCTCCCCCAGAGTGGACAGCCCAAGTGGTATGGGCAGTCAGCTGGCCAGCCCCACCTACTACAGTGACTTCAGTGACTTCAGGGAGTCCCTGTCGCCCCCCGAGGCCCGGCCCAGGACCAGCCACGGCAACTCAGGCGGACGTTTTTTCCAGTCGGAGTGCCACTCCTCAACGGAAGACTCTGCATCTGAGAAGGAGGCATTGCTTTCCTTCTCCCCACCATCCTGGCAGCAGGACACAGCTAAGGATGGCAGCTACATGTACAGCGATAAAGCACAGAAGATGATGGTGGGTGACTTATTCGCAGTGACATTCATGGCCTTAAAAAATCACCTACAGTGGCCAAGTGTGCCCTAGCTAAAAAGTGGTATCCAAGCACCATGATCCCTTGGCAACTTTGTACTTGTAGCTTTAGATGACACAATTTCCCCAAGCCCTCAAATATGAGCATTCATTTCTTTTCAAAAAATAAACCCACAGCTTGTGTTTTTGCCCTCACTTTTTTCCCCGGAAATGATACATGCACATGTGCTTATTTGTACATATCGCTGTTACCTGCTGAAATAGACTGGCCCCCTTCCCATTTACTGTTCAAAAGCATTTCTAGCTTGTACACAGGACATACACGTAACTTGTCATTTCGTTTGTCTGGTTCCCAGATGTACATGTATCATACAAAAACAACATCATCTGAAAAAGAGTGCCTGACTAGATGTAGGGGGACCTAGAGGGATTCCTTTTCTCAACCATATCCCACATAAATCACATTAAAATTACTCAGTAGCAGGGTTCCAGTCAATCAAGCAAGTTTGGTGGCTTTTGGACATACATGTAGTATTATGCAAAATAAACTTTTTTATTTTGCCGACACGCAGGTCTACGGCGACGCTCGAGCTGACCAGAAACCAGAGACTTTCATATTTATAATCGAAATAATTTCTGACAGCACCATCAAATTTTTCTGGTCACTACCAAGCACAGCTTTAATTAATGTGTAAGCATCTAGTCAGTTTCTCTATATACAACTGCAGTTTGTTAGAAATCATTTCAGTTGGCACTTTTCTTTTTCAATTTCAGGCCAGTATGGGCTACAGGAAGGGTGAAGGTCTGGGTGTAGGAGGAAAAGGTCGGGTGGACATCGTGGAGTCATCCAAACAGAGAGGGAGACGAGGGTTGGGTCATGTGACTGAGGGGTTTGAGGCCAGCGATGACCTAGTGTGGGACGAGACAGAGGAGGTGGGTATGGCTGATTGTTTGTTCCTCAGGTTACAGCTGCACAGCGTCCCAGAACCAGAAGCAAGATGTTTAACTGAATAAAATGGTTCACAAGTCGGCCGTGGTTTTGGTTTTTTTTTAGTTGAATCCTGCAACAATCCTAAACTTTTTCACTGGCATACGCGTACCCGCGACATGCAACATCCATTTTCAACAGGATGTCAAGCTGGTAGTGAAACATGAAAACAAGCAGCTCATAGAAATCTCCAAAAAATTGGTTGGAGGATTGGAAAAGTCAGACAAAGTCAATTACTGTTTAAAAATGTCTGTTTCACTGGCAAGTGGCTTATTGTACCCTTGTTTTTGATGGTGTGTGGATGGATTTTGACCAGTGTATGTACATATACATGTACGTGTGGAGAGCTAACAATGACTGTGTGGTCGATCGTGCACATGTACATGGTTGCACAGTGACTGAGGTGACTGCAGTCACTTCACTGCCTGATAAAACGTTTATTTGACAAATTCTTAGCATTGCATTGTTGAAGAGGAAACAAAAACTCGAAGGTAAATTTGCCAACCACTAGTACTATGTGAAGCCATGGAAAAATGCATTTTGAGGGCCATAATCGGTCCATGGATTTTTGAGGGCCATAATCGGCCCATGCATTTTTGCAAGACAAGTTACACAAGCTGCACTTCTAGCGTTAGAAATGAATAGCATTTTTCTCAAAGCAGTGATCTAAAAAAATAAATCAAGTTTTGCGAAGTAAATCACAAACCCCAAAATGGGCCAATTTTGACAAATTGCACCACATGCAAATCCTATAAGAGTAGTTTATTTTACTTATGCAGTCCCTGACCCACACAACTGTTATTTGTCTTGTTATGTATTCAGGTTTTTGTCCCTGGTCCCTGCAACTGCTTGTGTTTTGGGGTTTTTTATATACTCTGAGTTCAATTTTGTTTTGTCTGTTCGTGCGATGGTCAAATAAATAATAATAATCCTTTACACTGCCTTCGATACCATGTACTAGTCAATGCAGTCTTGCTCTTGTGTTTCCATAGGTTTCAGCTCATGAAACATACAAATGGATGCCGCCTTGCAACCCTATAGATGAGGCAGAACTAGTACAATGGAGAGACTGGAAAAGAGAAAAGGTACTTTAAACCTAGCGCCATCGGTGCTCCATATTGAAAGAGATTCATGACTCTATCATGGCTGTCCAAAAAAATATACGCTTTTCTTACATAAATGTACATATACATGGACGTAGAGTCTAGCCAGCCCATGGCCTTGCCTTATTAGACTGGTTTTACTGTTTTGGCGGTGCACTGAAGTTCATGAACAATGATGCATCTACGCACTGCCGAAGACCGTGCACCATGCAGACTGCGGTTTTCGGCAGTGCGTATGCGCAGTTGTTCATAGTAATTTGAGCGGACGAGGTGTGCTCAGAGTTTTCCAGGTAAGCCTGCCAGATTCTACAAGACTGGTTTTCTGGCAGGTCGTCTCTTGTGAACATAGTGCCCTCTACCGGTAGTGCTATTTGGCTGTGCTCGCAAGCTCATGTCGCCTGCATGGTGCACTGGCCAAAACAGTGAAACCAGTCTTGGGGCAAGACTAGCCAGTCCATTGAAACATGACCTGACTTTGAATATTCTAGCCCTAAACCTTCAGGGTACTTTCGCTAAAAATCCTGCCAGACTCATCAGTCTGCATCATTTGTCAAAGTGGCTTGCCTGCCCTGTGTAACAACATCCAACAGGTCAACTCGTCCCAAGGTCAAAGAGCCTGGGAGTCTGCAGTTGCCAGTCACCACAAGATCCAACAGTGGCATTGTTCCATGGGACTACCTCCCGTTGTCTTGACGTGGTCAGTTTGGCTCCTGTTCATTGCTCAGTGCAACCAAGTGCACCAGACTTCACCTGTTGCACTATGCTGCATCTGGCAGGGTTAGGGCTGGAGGAGTTCCTTTGTGTCCCCTTTCATTGCTTGCCAGTAATTGGTAACATGCCCTTGCACACCTGCTATAGGCACTTTATTTGTTATCCCTTTTCCAGAGAAAAGACTACATCGATGATGAAACCCATTTCTGTGACCCTGCCATTTTGAGAAAGCTTTTGGCTGCCAAGGTAGGAACCACTGCTGTTGGTCGTATAAGTGTTAGCCATGAATGAAAATAACTGTTGTTAAAGCTGATCTTGAATGTTCAGTAAACAGTCTCGACGCTGATTCATCAACAATTTTGAGAGCAAAATTAAGTTTTGTTGCTGGTGTTAGAATGAGGAGGAGCCACTTGAAATAAAAATGTTAGTTTTCTGGCAGTAGACTAGACTGTTTTCAGGTTTGTTTTCTGGTTTTTTGTGAATAACGTACCACACCAAATGTGTTAGTTTTCTTGTATGTCTTAAAGTTGATGCAAAAATGTCAGAGCCTGCCCCTGGCAGGTTCTTTATCGAGGGGGAGCTTTTTTAAAGTTTGTCCTCTTTTTTTGAGATTCAGGACCAAGTTGTGGAGATAAAAATCTGTTTCTATGACAGATTTGTCTCTAGAGTAACATATTCAACATGCATGTAGTCATTACAGCTGCAGTGCCAGTGTGCATATACATCCCTGCTGTAGATATTGACACCTTGCAGCAGTGGTCTGCCACTGAACACTGTGCAAGATATCTTGATCCAAGTTAGGTCATGGTGGTAGTGTGACTATGCACATTGTATCAGGTGTAGTGTGCAGCAAGCCAGAGAGTGTGCACACTGAAAAATTGGGCTCTTTTCCCTGTGTGCTGTTCTCTGTACCAGAAAGAATACACCAGCATGACTGAAAACAATGCTGTTACGATGCTGCACTTTTTCCCGAGCACGTTGATGTACAATTGGTACACAAGAAATGAATAGACACATTCTGAGACACCGAATTTCAAAGGAGAGCCTCAGAATATTTTTCTAATCAATCTTTTGTCAAGTGAAAAGTCCTTTGTTCAGTCTTTTTAACTCCTTTTCCCCCTTGATAATGTTGATTTTTTGGTGATATATAACTTATCACATTGATCAGGTAAGCAAATTTTTCCTGGATCAGCTAACCGCTTCTTTTTTTACTTACTACTTGAGCCATGACATGTTGAAAAACATGCAAAGTCTAGCAGTTCTCCCCCTTTTTTGTGAATCCCAGTTGCGTTACACGTCTAATCGATCTTTTGTGACAGTTAATGCTCTGCCTTCATCAGGAAAGATGTTGATATACCTGTAATGATAAATGAAGGATAATGCAAACCGTTGTTCTTGGTATACCCAGTCAGCGTTTGACAAGCTGGATGACCCTGAGGAGATGAGGCATGCCAGAACCCGATCTAACCCCTTTGAGACAATCCGGGGAGGCATTTTCCTCAACAGGGCTGCCATGAAGATGGCTAATATGGACTACGTCTTCAACTTCATGTTCACATCGCCCAGAGACGGGCACGAGGTGTGTATGCCTGACCTTTCTCTGCCTTATCCAATCTTTGGAACATCCCAGTCATCACCTAGGAACTACTTACATGTGAACTACAGACTCATTTTAAAGAGTAGCACTTTTTCCTTCATTGCAAGCAAAACAGGTTAAGGTTCCTTGTACTGAACTGCCTAATGTCAAAAGGCAGTGTTATCTATACCCTTACAAATCAAATTGGAAAGGTCTCTGCCTTTTAATTACAGAATGGAGGGGAAAACAGTTTTAACATCGATCAAACATATGACCTCTTCTTAAGCAGGTCACTATGATTCTATGAAATGCATAGAGTGTCAGTGACGTGTATTATTGTGTCACAGTTCATTACTTTGTCCTTCATTGCCATTATAGAATGTAACTTTTGCCTTGCTGTAATGTAGCAAATATTCACACGTATCTCATCCATGTCATAAACAATGCGAGGTGGCAAGTTCTTTGAAGTGTCAGAGTGTTGAAGGGCCAACAGTGGTCAAGACAGGGCCAGAGGATTGCTTAAGATCTCATTTTGGATCTCATTTAGCATAACTAAAGCTCAGTCTCTGTTTGTTTGTTTGTTTGTTTGTCTCTGGTAGAGGCCACTGGTGGGTCACAACGACCTGCTGTATTTTTGCGACATCTGTGCGGGCCCCGGCGGTTTCAGCGAGTACGCCCTCTGGCGGCGGAAGCACCGGACGAAGGGCTTTGGCTTCACCATCAAGGGGCCCAACGACTTCAAGCTGGAGGAGTTCTTTGCCGCATCGCCGGAGTACTTTGAGCCACATTACGGTGAGAGAAGACAATCGAGCTTTCAAGTCTCACATGTCACTACTTCTTAGTTCCCCGGATCACTTTGCTGCAAGTGAGCAGACCAAGAGACAAATATTTCATTGTCATACGAAGTTAGCGTGTTTACCTTCCCTCTTCTTGTCAACAAAGAAATTTCTTAAGATCAGTATTCTGGCATTCCTCAAACGTATTGGAACTAGCCAGCCTCCTGAAGCAATAACTGATGTTTTACACCTTGGGAAAATGTCAGTGCACTGCAGATTTTTTGACAGCAGCCACAATGTTCAATACATTTTGTCACGTGTTTCACTGTCAGTGTTTTGATATGTCCAATTTACTTAACATTCACTCTTCCGTCAAATATGAGCATGCCTCTCCACCAAAGAATGATATTCAGGTAGCAGCAGTGATCCATTCCTAGTAGCTGACACCTTGACACCATCCTGGATGAAACTGTGATCACAGGATGATAATCTGGAATTTCTGGAAATATGCAACCGCACTTTCCTTGCATGTGGGCAAAGACGCAAACCAAGAATCTAAGAGAGAATGGCCAAATTCTGTTGTACTCACTGAGCAAACAAGCAGCTGTCTCGAGCCATTTGGTTCATCAGCCTCCTGTTTATCTCCACTTTCCTTGACATGAAACCACTGAAAATACCGGTATGTCTACATTCTCAGTATGTGACTAGCAGCTGGATGTGAACTCCAGACCCTCTGGTTAGAAGTCACACTGAGAATGTCTACATTCTCAGTATGTGACTAGCAGCTGGATGTGAACTCCAGACCCTCTGGTTAGAAGTCACACTGAGAATGTCTACATTCTCAGTATGTGACTAGCAGCTGGATGTGAACCCTGACCCTCTGGTTAGAAGTCACACTGAGAATATGTCTACATTCTCAGTATATGACTAGCTGCTGGATGTGAACCCTGACCCTCTGGTTAGAAGTCACACTGAGAATGTGTCTACACTCTCTGTATATGACTAGCAGCTGGATGTGAACTCCAGACCCTCTGGTTAGACGTCGCAACCTTGACCACTTGGCCACCTACACTTCCAATACTCGCCAAGGATAGGGTAAAAAAAAATGATTTTGCAAGCAATGATTCTACTTTTTAGAGTTGACCTTTCAGCCTTTTTCTTGGGTACCTTTTATTACTGTGTTTGCCCCTGTGTGTTTCACAGGTGTGAATGGTGCTGCTGGGGACGGTGACATCATGCGCAGTGATAACCAGGTTGAATTCAGGAAGTTTGTCTATGAGAACACCGACAACAAAGGCGTACACTTTGTCATGGGAGATGGGGTAAGCCGCTCGTCCTTTCTTGACATTTCTGCTCATTTCAGCTTTTTTTATCAGGGGATGTACACGTTATAAGAATCACCAGGGTTTTGATAATGACTATTCCTAATACTGACCTCCATCTCATCCCTCTGTCATTGGGACTGGCGTCTTGGATGAACTTACCTGGTAACTACTATCTGTATCAGGTTTAGCAGAGAAGGACTAGGATTTGAACTAGCAGCCTGTATAACACAATGCCAGCAGTCTACCAGTTGAGCTATCTAACACTTGATAGGGAGCCTTCCATTCACTCAGTTTCTTTGTTCAAGAGCTGGTGGTCACAAGCCCCAAATGTGTGCGTACCATTTATCCAGAGTTCACACCTAAGGCCCGAATGCATGCAGCACTGGCAAGCAGGAAGCCCTGTCAAGTGTTGTACGTGTAAATGCCAGGGAGCATTTCATGCTTCTCTTCTCCTGGGACTTCCGATGGACCACTAACATTCAGCGGGAATGTTCCAACATAATGTGAGCATTCCTGCCTTTTGAGACACTAAAAGTAAAGTGTGCAAGAGGTCATTCTTGAATCTTACCCCGTCACTTGCTTCAGTCAGCCTAGAAGGATACTAGGATCAACCAAGTCACCTTCCTCTGCAGTATTTCGTTAAACCTGAGCAAAAAGAGTGATAGTAGCCTTTGCACCTCTTGGGGTTTGATCCAAATGTCTGATCTCTTTACTAGATTCTGTGGATATCAAAATCCTGGTTTGCTCTACCTGTACATTACCAAAATCATTTTTTTTTCTGCATTTAACACCTCCAGCCAATATTTTTGTCAATTCTTAACTTTTATGTCGTACTGCGTAGTGAAGTGCTGTATATTCTCCCATATTTTGTGAGATTTCTTATCTGATTTTTGTGGTTGCATTTGATAATTCAGGGGTTTTCAGTGGCCGGTCAAGAGAACATCCAGGAGGTGCTCAGCAAGCAGTTGCTTCTGTGTCAGTTCCTAGTGGCTCTCTCTGTCCTCAGACCAGGTAAGTCCTAGCTTACCTTGGACGGCTGAAGCCTACAGATCAATAGGCTGTTGGTTTCATGCATGAATGAGAGAGGATGCTTTGAATTTCTCATGCTCACTTGTTAGCTTGTGTGGTGTCCATAGTACGCACAACTGATCTTTATCTGGACGTGCACAAAACTCAAGGGGTCTAGGTGCTAGGTGCACGGTGATGGTAGCATTCAAGTGTCAGCCTGGGGGGAGGGGTGGTTTCCAGTACACGGCTTTGTCTCCGTCTTTGGCTTCGCCTGACTTTTTACCCCTCAGGTGTGAAGTTGTGAGCTCAATGTCGTGTGGTGTAGCCCAAATGTCGAAATGCATCCTGTCAGGCCTTAATTTTGAGGAATTTCTATTTAATCTGAACACTTAGCCTAGAAATGGTTACTGATTTGAGAGATGAAGCCTGAGATGGAGATCAAAAATGGGTGTTGTTGGAACCTTCCCTCCAAGTCTTTCTATGCGTCACCAGTGCAAGGATAATTGCGAATAAAATCAATTGGGCTCATTCCAATTTTTTTTTTATTCCATCCTCGGACACTGCAGGACTGCAGCCACTTTATTGCAATAGAACGTTGTTTTTGTTGACTGTTATATTACAACAGCTATTTTGTCCTTTCAGTGCCTACGGGCACAGACATATACGATGATTTGTGCATGCCATAGAGTGGCAGGACCTTCCATTCCATGATAGAGATATTCATATTAAACTCAAACTGCCTTCTCAGTATCATCAACTAACTCAAGAGATTGATGGGCTAGGCTTCTTTCCAGTTGTTTGCATAAGCCAGATGGTGCTTACCGAAAGAACAGTGTTTTTAATGCCCGTCAAAATTTGATTTCAATCCTTGCAGTACAAAGTCATCGCATTACAAGCAATTTGCAGGAGAAATGTGACCACTGATATAATTTGCAGTTGCCACAGCTGTGCTTTGCATTTCCATAGTGTTTTTTACAATTATTCACAGACTAGTTCATTCCTTATTTTTGCATTTGTCTTTGCAGGGGGGAGTTTTGTATGCAAGACCTTTGATCTCTTCACGCCCTTCAGCGTAGGCTTAATCTATCTCCTGTACAGAGCTTTCTACAGAGTTTCCCTGTTCAAGCCAGTCACGAGCAGACCCGCCAACTCAGAAAGGTAAATCTCTTGATTCCAGCCAAGATGGGAAAGTCATCGATTCCAACCTCAGCAGTAGTTTTACCAGCAAGAATTTAGTTAGCCAAAATGTTTGTATCAGAGGCAAAGATACATGTATACAGACTCACCTGTTTTGAGCAGGTGATCTCGCCAGTTCATTGGGTTATACAATTTCATTTGACTGCATTTCATTTGGTACAGCATAGTGGCAAGACCAATATTCAGCCACATTTTCTTATTTGCTGTAGTGAAATGTTGCTACAGAATTGAATCTTTCATTTTGAGACACTAGTAAGTTAGCATGGACGTATGTTGTGTGTTCAAAAGAATCTTGATTATTTTGGACCCCCTGTCCTTGCTCCACCCCTTTACCAACCCTCCCAAATCCTCCTCTGTCTCTTCAGGTACATCATATGCAAAGGAATGCGGGCAGGTGCCAACCTGATCCATGATTACTTGTTTGACCTGAACCGGGTGATGAACCAGCTGAGGCACAGCAGCGACGACATCATGGAGGTCGTGCCTCTTGACGTCATTAAGGCAGATGTCCAGTTCACTCAGTACATCACTGACCAGAATGAGAGGTAAAAGTCCCTCCCCCCTCACTCTATGTCAGAATGGTTCATGTCACTCCTTGGTCTTTCTCATGACAACTTCATGTAGAGGAAATGCTTAGGCACATTCAGTAGTGTGATACGCTGCGTACATGTACCTACAAAGGTGCTTAGGATATGCCTATACCAGTATACATTATTGTTCTGTTGATTACCCCCCCCCCGGTGTAGTACGAAACGCGGACTTCATGAAATACAAACTCATTGACCGCATTGCATTTGAACTGATGCACTGAACAGTGTTGGTCACGTTTGAGCGACGAGCATAATAAACTGTAGTTTGACCACCATCAAGTGTATGATATCACCTAAACGATGGTGATGATGTGACTATCTAGCAAACCATATGGAACTGGACCCAGTGGGCTGTTCACATTGCCAGTTATCAGTAGCCGTTTTTTTTTTTTCATAATTGAGTACAGAGGGAACCGTTCACATGAAAGTAAGTGTGCGAGTTGGCAGAGACGGTGAATGAAAGAAGAGATGGGATTTCTCAAAAATGGTTGGGACTGGAATCATTCAAGGGGGACTGCATTGCTCGTGGGTATTGGTAATAACCAGTTGGCTAGTGTTCAAACTATAGTTAGTGCCCGCACTTGACCACTGCAGTAGAGTTTAGTGTCACATTTATAATGCGGTTCAGGAAATAAATGTTAGTGTGTTGGGAAACAAGACCAGGGTGTCAAAACACAGCAGTATAGCTGTTGACCTTTTGACCTTCAGTGATGCGTGTTGCTATACACAAGCCTTGTTCTCTTTTTGTCTTTGCAGACAAGCCCAAAGCCAAGCCCAGAGTCTTGCCAAGATCCAAGCCTTCGTCCGCAACACCAATCTACTGGAGCCCAAGCAGGCCGCAATGAGGGAGGAGTGCCTTAGATTGTGGGGGGTATGTTCATTCCTTGTCTTTGAAACCCTCCTTGAATCCGGGACAACCGCATTTTACTGCAGGGCGTCTCTCTGTTCTTTCAACTCACATTGTAAAAGTTAAACCTTATCCTGATTCATAGGTTCCTGCTCCAAAAAGGGAAACTGAAACCATGAAAGATTGCTTTTAATAAAAAAATTGTCTGCTGAGGTTGATTCCCCATACAGTTTGTGTGCAAAAGAGCTTTTGTATGAAACCACAAAGAGGCAACAACCACAAGAAACACTGAGAATTCTCTGATTGTCCCACAGAGAAATACCGCACGTGTGTCTCGTTTTAGGCATCATGTAGCACTGTAGGTGCAAAGGATGTTGTGGTGGTGAACTCTTACGGTTGGATATCTCAAGTTTTAATTTTCATTTGAGAGCAGTGTACATGAGCCATTTCACATGCTCATGATGAGGTTTCAATACTGTTACAAAGTGGCCTCCATTAAAGCCCACCTGGTTCGGGGCGTGGGCATGTATTATGCTGTCAACCCATGCTTAAGCAGACAGGTTTGCTGTTAGTCTATCACCTATACAGTAATCATGACTTGAAAGAACTCTCAGGGAACAAAACCCTTCTCTTGTTAAAGACATACTTGATTCTTAAATTTGACTCTCAAAATTCTAAAGAAAGATATGAAGGCTTTATTTTAGGAAATGCCCAAAAGCGTTCGCAGTGTGTTCAAGTTAAGTGTCTGAGGATAATTATTTCCAAAATAAACCAATAAGCCTCCTTAGACTGTGTGTAAGATGTCACGTCTATGATAGGGATTTTTGTCTTTTTATAGGGATGTTGCCTTGACTGTCATCTGGCAAACCTGGAAATAGCATCTTTCCCTGTCACTGAGTTTTTGCTGGCTCTCATTTTGAATATTTCCCCTTTGTACTCATCAGTACTTTGTGTACATTTCAAAATGGTGATTAATTGTAAGATCTCCCCTGTTGTTTGACCATCTCACAGATACCAGGGGATACAAGGTCTACCCCCAAACTACCAGATCCGATGACCAAGTTTAATCAGCTAAATAAGGTGAGGACAGTACAAGACTTCAAGAGCTCTCTCTCTGTGTGTGGTTTAGGTGTAGCCGTAGACCCAAGTTAAACGGTTGGAAAGAAAAAGTAAAATTCAGGAAAGATTGCTCTCTTTCAGAATCTCTTTGTCTAAATTGTGGTCCAAGATCTATAAGACACATAGAGATCTGAATCCTTTTGTTTAACTTTACTCTTGATGTTGCCCTGTTGGGATATGTATGTTCCATTTCAGGTGAATGGACAGGCTAGGTAAAATTTCCTCACCATACTTTCAAAAGTCCTCACTGTATACCAATTTTGTTTCTGTTTTTTAAACACATCCAACCCTCTTAGATCCTTTACTATATGGAATCCTACATAGTGAATCAAGGATCTGTTACCATATGTGAGACTGATATCTTTTAAGAGTCTCAGTGCAATAATATACCTTGGGTTGTAGCAAAGAGGATTTAGAAAGATTTAGGGAGTGTTCGAGCCCCCCCAAAAGATTAAGGAATGTGTTTGCTCCGAGTTGAAACCGAGAGGTTTACCTCCAATAGTACGCTGTGGTCATGGAGGGGTTGATCCACGGTCTGTTGATTCTGTCTACCAGGATGACAGCAGTGAGTACTTCCACCAGTCGCCCACTGTACTGGACAGGGAGAGCCTGGGTAGGAGTATCCGCAGTATCTTTGACTATCGCTGTATGGTGTCTGGTGGAGACAGGGTCTTCATTATCGGCATCGGGGTAAGTCAAGTACCAAAAAATAGCAGGCCTGGGCCTCTAGGATCCCATGTTTGGAGGCGCCTTGATTTGCTTGTAGTGGAGAAGTTGGGCTCATCAAGGATAGGTTTCCAGCCAGATTGTGCTCATCGCCTGCTTATTTCTTTATTTTACACCGTGAAGTTTCATCACAACTTTCTATGAGTACCTCCATGAAACCAAGCAGAATTTTCATTGCCAATGGAAAACGCATCCTGTGTCTACCACAACCCCTCACATGGGTGAACCTTTTTATGCAATCCACATCATACAAGGGAGAATCCTTTTTGCCTTTGGTTGTACACCTCAATTGCAGAGGCCGTTTTTGAGAGTTTGCACTGTCTTGACATTGATATGTAGGAAGCAGTGTTAGCCAGTTGAAATTTATATTCTTGCACTGGATTTGCTGGGAATTTTCAGTGGAATGTGCATAAACATGTAAATATCTTCATATGTATTAAAAACAGACTGAACGCCCTTTCAAATGCCATTTATTGTCAATCCCTTAAATGACCTGTCCTAAAAACCTCAAAAGTTTACCCCCACAACTATCATATAGTCATTTTGAAACAACTGACAATAAAGTGTGGGAGATTACCGGTACCAGAAAATTAAGAAAAGCTTTATATCTTTTTTGTCTCTTGATCATTGGCTAATTCAAACCACAAACTAATGTTTCATTGGTAGAGATCGCATGTGTTCCAGTGGAACGGCAGGCCAACCAGCAAGTGGACCAAACTACAGATGTGTAACCTCAGGCTACCAGGAGACACGCTGTTTGAGGCAGAGATTGTGGAGGAGCTACGGGGAGAGGTGAGTTGAGATTTCTCAGCTTGATGATCAAATATGGCTTGGTCCTTTTGCCCCACAGTGCATTTCAGTACAAACTTCTGCCAAGAACCTGGGAGTGTGTACGCAAGGAGGATGGGTGCACGACTCCAGTGGGGGCTCAATTGTTCCTCGTCCACGCAGCAACTGGCTTTTGGGGGGCCATATTTGGATGTGGTTGTGCTTAGAGTTGATATTTTGGCCGGAAGCATGAACGTTTCATGCTGTAGCCTACTCTCTGTAATTTGCTTGCAGTCACATGATATTGTGCTCTTTCTAATACGACACTTGACAGCGTTGATGGGCTCTATTTTCTCTGTGGACTGTAATCAGTTTGTTTAATCACTACAACCCTATGGGCGCGCCTGACTAAAAGAAGTGCATTTGAGCATTGAGCATTGTGAAGGTTATAAAATTGCTGAAAATGCTGTGCCAACAATACATCAGACTTGTGGTTCACCAAAACACTCCCTTTACCAAAGCATCCTATTTTCTTTGGCAGGGCTACGGTCAGAGAAGGTCGTACGCCTTGCACATGTTGGATGCCATGTGGCTTGGAGGTGAGGACGTCAGGCAACTTCATTTCACTGAAAGGTAACCAATGCTGTGGGAACGTCAGCGATTGCGTAAGGGGGATCAGGACAAGGCTTGGCCTTGGTCTCACAGATGAAGGGCAGTGTGGTTTATATGACAGTGAAAACTCGCTGCTCACTGCTCACTCACTTCGCAGTCTGTGGTTGTTTTCAAACGATGTTCAGGTTTCAGCAAACTGCTCCTGAACTTTTCTGTCATGACAGTGGTATCTATCATCCATTTTATCAATGAGATTTGGATATTTACAACAGCTTCAGTGCCTTCCCTGTGCTATATTTTCCTGATTGTCAATTTTGATGTACAGGCCACTGTATGAAAATCTCCATTTCCAGTAGCAGAAAGATTGAGACTGGAAAGCTGTTTTTCAGTTTGGGTTTGTTTGTCACAGGATCAGCAAGGCAGAGTTGTTTGTGAAGGCCATTCATAAGCCTACCAAGCCTGACCTGACACCGCTCCGAGTCAAAGAAGTCTTCAGGTTTGAGGAGATCCACAAGATCTTTGATAGGTAAGAGAACTGTATCAAAGTCAGTGATTTTACCACACCCTGGCGAATCAGAGCATTGTTCAGATAGAAGAGTGACTCAATCCTACCTAGCAAACTCTAACCACATTTTCCTCTCTGTCTTACTAGTTTTTTTCCATTCCCATTGAGAAAAGGGCAACTCCAGAAATGAGGGGTCCAAAAGTAGAACATTTTCGTGCCCCTGTTACATCTGACCTTTGTTGTATGACATGGAAATATCACTGGAATTGGTTTCAAACTACAGTCAAACACATATAAGAAGAGCCCTGTTAATACAAAGCAACATTTATAACAAGGATAATTTTAGATCCCAAGTCTTTGTTTTTCTTTGTTTCCATGACTGATAAAACAAGGTACAATTTGTAAAGTCCCAAGGAAATTGTTATAACAGTGTTCCACTGTTCTGTGGCAGGTAATTTGCATTAATTCATCACTCGTGGAAATTCAGAACTGTTGATGTCAGACGTAACTGGTACATGAAAAAAATGGAGCCCTAATTTCTGGAATTACCCACAAACATTGCCATCTTTTCAGTTAAATATTTCACCGAGTTTAACATGGCTGAAAGAATTTACCAATCCTGTTTGGTCTCCACTATGCAGAACTTTGGCCATTGGCATGTACCGAAAAAGTGATTTGAGCAATTTTGTTTGAGCGGATCACTTTCTTGTCGTCTCCGGGTATGAGCATGCGTTTGTGAAATAATGCTGAAATCTTTTTGCAAGAACTGGTGATGCATCGTGTCTCTGTCCAGCACAGGTTTATCAGCAACACCAATAGACCTGTTTAGTTTCACTTCATACAGTGGTACCACTGTAGCTCTATAAGTACTAAATAGAGCCTTGATTAATCTTGCGGCCACAGAGTAAAGACATCACTGAGGCAGTGCTGCATTCACGTTCAGGTGATCACCCAAGATGAATTTAGGTTGTAGACTAATCTGTGGGTTGGAATGAGGAGCCGTTTTGGCAGTGGCGCTGCTTGGCACATAGGTGTGGTGCCTGCATTGAATACCTCTTGGACCACTAGGGTGTTGACGTGCCAAAATGCATGCGCTTCGAGTTGAAAATAATACTCTTGGTGTCATCGTAGTGAAGATGTCTTCTTGGACCAGGAGGGTGTTGGACGTCCCAAAATGCATGCACTTCGAGTTGAAAATAATACTCTTGGTGTCATCATAGTGAAGATGTCTTCTTGGATTGCACCTAGGTCCCAACTTATCAAGATGCAAATGCAAACTACTCAAATTTCGGAATGCACTTGACATGTGCACTGCCATAGTACCACCACAGCTCTGCCTTGTAATACTCAATCATTTTCAGAATATAAACCACGGCTTATACGTTGAATCTCGCACTGAAAATGTCTCAGCGGTGTATATGCCGGGCAGCTTATACGTCAACCTTTGAAGGATAAAAATCAGTCACTAAAGCCGTGGCTGGGCCACACGCACCACGTACCGGTGGCGCCGTCGTGCTTTGGTGGGCTGCCGTTTACATCAGATAAACCATCAACCTCGGAGAATAAATAAAAATTTAAGTTGTCCGGATTTTGAGTAGTAAATGGAAGTCCCAGAGTCATGAATTCACGAAACACATACATGAAGTATTTACGTAATCATACGAAACTTAGCTTGCTCTGCTGTGACAGCATTGTAGTGATTATTTTCACCTGGCGTATTTTTGCACACAATCATTTTAATACTGAGATCTTTGTATTATTGTTACCTGGAGTTTTCTTTCTATCGATAAATAAAAATCAGCCGCTTACATGTACATGGTATCGGTACATATACCTTCATGTAGCAAATCTCATCTTTTCACAGAACGTGGTTGGCGCGGCTTGACATATCACTGAATTTCGGGTCTGTTTTTACTTGGTTTTTCTGATAACATCACTTTCTGTGGTCATGTGGTTATTGGAAGAGTCAGCGTTTGGACTGTCCGCGAATGGGTCCAAGGATAATCTGAAAGCAGGATTCGTCATGGTCCTGGGTGCATTACGTGTACTGCCGCGCAGATGCAGCATGCATGCAACACGGGTGGTTTAAGTAAAAACATGAGTGTGCTTCACGCTTGACAATGAGGACTTGAACCAAGGTCTCAAGGCGGTCCTCAATACCTACTATTTTTGAAGTAATTTGGTGGTTTTTTTGTCGCCGTCACAAAACTTCGAGATAAGCGGATGTAGTGCTGTGGCCATTTCGAGTTACGCAGGTATTTTTGTACTTAACAGCCTATTCCTTTGGCAAGAAAAAGTCGGCCTTGGAGAAAAAACAGTCTTTCAAGTTAACAGACTTCAAGTTATCAAGATTTCATTGTAAATCCTTTTCCGCATAACTTTTGCTGGCAGCTTAGAAAAAAGGGCAAGAGCTGCTGCTCGGCTTACGCAGGAAAATCATCCAGCCCATAAAACTTATTAATTTTCAAAACTTAATATTCATTTTTAATGGTGGCACTCAATTGCACTCTGCTTATATTTATTAGGGTTGCATGTGTAGTGAACCATTGACGTACTGTACTTTTCATGCTGTACTGGCACTTCAGCACGCAGCTTGATAACTTTCATGGTTGGATCGTCAGTGCTGTGATGTGGGTTATATGCTGTTGTGGTTTATATACCTACCTTTAATCTTAATTTGCCGATTTTTGTGTGCTGTGGCTTATACACTGGGCGGCTTACATTCTGAAAATTATGGTATATGTTTTGAAAGCCTCATCTTTATTGATGGCTTTCCCTTAACTTCCCTCTCACACCTCAAGACTCGAGTTCAAGCAAGTCAAAGGGTCGGGAAGACATCAGCGGCTGTGCTTCCGAACCAACACAGACCGGCATTTCATTCCTACGGGCGTCTGCCTGGTGAAAACTACCAATGGTGAGTGGGGAAGGTCGGGTAGGTTGAGGTGCGAATTAACTGCCAGGTCAAAGGTCACCTCCTACTTTATTGATTTTTTGGGTTCTGTTCAGAGTCGTTATGATTATGATTTGCATTTTGTGGGTACTTTGAGACAATCTACCCCAAGGGTTGTATGGGACTGTGCATTTACACATTGTTTATTGCAGTGCCTTACAGGCAGCAGTTTGGGAGTGAACGGTTTGAAAGGCAGATTTTCAGGCCATATACAATCGAAACTCAATACTAAGAGATCCTTTGGACTTTGCAGATTACCTTATAACAGGAACCTTGTATTATCAGGAATGAAAATGATAAAAAAGGATCAAAACCCAAAAATTCCTTGTTGAAAGTAAAATGTTGTTTGAACAAGGCTTCTATGCTTGAAGTTGGACTGTACATAGATGTTTGGTCATTAATTTGCAATGAGGACCATCTGAGCAGAATCATGTATACTGAATAGTTTGGAGATCCTTGTTCACAGTTGAGACATGCTAGACCATAGAGAACCAGAGAAGAAGGAACTGCATTTCCCTGTGTGTCAAATTCCTCTAGACTAAACACACACTTACTCTTGAGGACTGGTTTTGAAATCACTGAGAATGCCAACTCTTTTTTTTTCCTTCTGTGCATCTGTCCTTTGCAGTAAAACTATGAGAACAAAGCCATGTCTCCTCAAGAATCTATAAATGTCGGAATGTGTGAGCCTATGTGAACAATGTGATAGGCATTTCTGCCCTCATTTTCTTCTTCCCCAGATCCATGGACGATGCACTGGAGTCGGACCAACCAGAGGAAATATTTCCACAATGCTAGCACTCGGGAGTCGACGTTTGACTGTCCTCCTGATTGCATTGCATCATTCAAGTATGTATGCGTCATCGATGTTAACTCTAACAGTCCTCAGTCCAACACCTGTCTAGGCAAATATCAGATTTCTTGCAAGAGAGTGCTTTCAACTGTGTGCATGTGTTTGGCTGCTGCTTGAATGTTTTTCTTTCTGTTTATCTTTCAGAGCTTGCCATCTGAATCGACTTCAGTGGGTGTGGGAAGAGGGAGTTCAAATCCATGAACGCCAGATGCAATATGACCAAGAGAAACTCTCCAAAGACGACGTGCTGGATCTGGTGAACAGGCAACGCATGGTATGAACATAAGGAGCTCTCACATCAGCTGCCTGACAATCACCGGTTACAACGCGGGCCCCTGGTAGGTTGGAGAAATCTCTTAAGGATCCATTTGAGACTGGCCCAATGGAAACCCAAATTTACGAAGCAGATACGAATCCACAGGAGAGCAGTAATCATCTCTCGGGAGTAGCTCTCTGTGGATGCTGTGTGAGTCTACAAATGCCTCTTCAAGAAATGTCCTATGCTGTGGCCTGTCAACAAGAGCAATAGAAAGGAACTCATTAACCCCTTCACGACGGGATGATTTTGACCGCGACTGCTGGGCTGTGGTATGCCCTGAATGGAGGGCTTTGTCCAGCAGCAAGGCCCATTGAACCAGTAGCTACATGGTGAATAGACTGTATGTGTGGTAGGCACTAATGCTCACACAAAGATGCTGTAGTAGCAGTCCTCCGTAGCGAAGGGATTAATCATAAGCAGTAGATCTGTAGTAGGAAAAATCACCAAGGACGCAATGTGACACATTGTTGATTGAATGAACATCGCTTTCTAGTGAAAAGTGGAGTGTTCAGAATCTGTCTTGAGCAGAAGCAACCTCCATGGGTTGAAGAGAGCCGTGTTGGTGGAGAGTGTTCAGTGGCTACATCCCACTCTGTTGTCTAGAGCTAGGTCTAGGCTCCATTGGAAATATGCAGGGACACGCTAACAATGATGGACGTAGCCATAGCTCTGAAAGGTCATTTTGGAGATGGCTAGTTAATATCCTGTCCTCTACCTGGTTTCTACTGCAGTATTATTGATACACAGGGGCACGTGAAATAGAATAGGAATCAATCAGTGCACATCCTCCGGTATAACATGCATTAAATAAATAAGAAGTACGTTCATAAATCAAGTTCCCAACAAAGGAGCCAAGATTACCAAGGAAATTGCGCCCTCTTTTGGTTCCACTTGGGGCAGACAGGTCGTAGTACATCACTACTGTGACCTTGCTATTTATGCTGGATGGTGTGGGTAGTGCACGTGTCAACAGCCATCCCAGCTGTCACACCAAGAGAGGTACAAACCAAATGTCCTAGACTCAGTTCTCAACAGGGTGTTTCTCTCAGATTTGTGAATCATGTATTACCAGCCGTTGCCAGCCGATTTGATATTCTTAGAAAGAATTCAGGAACTTTCATTCATCAAAAGCCCAGCTGTGGGCAACACCCACTGATTTTTTCCCAATCCTTGTAAAAATCCACAGGTCCATTTTTTTCGAATGGCAAACTTATATGCCTGGAAGTCATTAGCTGTGGTGGACAAAACAAACTTAAAGTTGCAGACTGTCAAACTCTCTGGAACCTGATTTTGATGGAGAAAAATTCATCTTAACTACATTTAAACAAATTTCTGTTGACATCTGTAATCTCAGCTTTTAAATCGGAAAGATACTTTCATTTAATAATATGGATACCAATATTTTGTCCACATTTGTACATTTTGTGTAAATTGGCCATGCGAGAAGTACACAGATTTCATTCACTGCAAGTTGTCTGTGATAACTCTCCCCATTTGACGGTGTACACCATGACTGACTTACATCAGAGGGAGTGATATCCTTTATGTTAATTTTTCAGCTTAGAAGGTCATCACTCAACTTCCACTTAACACCGCTAAGCTGAATTGGTCACACTTGATGATAAAGCGGTGCTCTGAATGTTTGACTTGCATGTTTTCCCCGCATGACAAATGGTTGCGAGTTGCCGAGTCTTGTGCATCAGTGCTGTATTGAAATGAAGCTCCTTATGTAAAATCTTGCCATTTGGGGGTGTCAATTTCTGAAAATTGAACATAAACATTGTGTACATGGTTGTAGTCTGCAGAATATATTGTACATCATACATATGCATGAAGGACGTCAAATCAGTTAGCTATATCTAAGAACACACATACTGACGATGGGGCTGTTTCTCCACCTCATTTTTTTTTTCAAACATTTCAAACTTCTGCTTGAAGCCGGCGTTATAGTAATCTTGTCCACAGCTCTGAGGGAAAAATGACCCTGCAACCTCTTTTTGGACTATTTTTAGTCCTGGAAAATTTAAATCACAATAAAAAGAAGAGATTTCAGGGTTTTGAGGATGGTTGCAATTGCAAGTCTACAGGCACTGTTCTGCATCAGAAATTGCCAAGCTGCCCACGTGTGGCAAACTTCACTTCCCAAATGTCAGGCTTCCTACAGCAGTTTCCTTGTATCATAATTTCTGAGTGTACTGCAAAATGGCATACAAGACAGTTTCATTTTTGTGCCTCCGGCCGTCAATTTGCATTAACGCTGAAATTGTCCGCTTTTCTATTCCATGTTGGTTCACAACTCCCTCCCCCCCAAAAAAAAAAGATGGAGAAGTGATCATGTATCATATTTGACGTTAAAATTTCACTTGTTCCATTACGCCTTTTTCTATGGTGTAGTATACACAAGACAGCAAAAGAAACTTGCCACTTCAACTCGCTTCTGTCAAAGGCCACACATAAAAATTCACTCCATAGAATAAACAACTTTTGTACACAGATATGCTGCAATACCCCTTACTAATCACAGGCCCAAAAGCAAGTGATTGTAACAGAATGAGCCCTAAGCAGAAATCAATGTCACAGGACGAAATAAGTCACAATCATTGCTTTTCAATAATGTGTATGCATAGTCATTGAGGATGGCATCCCTATATGGAAACCACTCATGCCCATCATTTTGACAAAACAGGAGTTCAGTTTGTCATTGGTTGTTTAAAATGTTGTCCATTCATGGGTCATTTTTGCTTGGTGGAGAGTGCTTTTGTGTGCCACTTTTGATTCAGTAACCAAGTTGCTGTGGATGTCAATTTCTTCTTTGTTATAAAGATAGTCACTTTTTGTAGGTCACATTGTAAGTCATGGGCATCATGCTAGAAAACTGAACATTTCCACAAGTTACTTTTAAAGTGAGTTCTGGTAGTACTGTACACTCAGACCAGTTCTTCAAGGCTGGGATACATTACCTTTCAGTTTGTTGTCACCGCAATGCATCAAAGGCAAGTAATTGCTGGTGATGGTACTGTTATGTATGGTAGGGGTGAGATAATCCAGAGTTGTAACGAGTTACTCATTTTTGTGACTCAAGTGGATTCATTGTAACACAGTGACTCAAATCGAGCCATTGTAATACAGTGACTCAAGTCGATTCATTGTAACACAGTGACTCAAATCGAGCCATTGTAATACAGTGACTCAAGTCGATTCATTGTAACACAGTGACTCAAGTCGATTCATTGTAACACAGTGACTCAAGTCGATTCATTGTAACACAGTGACTCAAGTCGATTCATTGCAATGTGACTTGAGTCAAGTCATTGGGTAAAAATGTTGAGTCAAGTATTCAGCTCTAGTCATTCGAGTCACAGGATTTGAACACAATACAATGAATAAAAACGACAGAAAGAAATTTTTGGGACTTGAGTCTTATCAACTTTCACTCGAGTCCGGTCTTCTAATGAGGAACTTGAGTCATTTGCTCGCAGTGACTTGTGTGGAGTCATTTACCCATCGGGAGTCGAGTTGTCAGACTCGAGGGGAGTCATCGACTCAAGTCATAAAAACTCACGAGGTAATTCATGCAGACATGTCCACTTGGCTGCTGGTAAACTACAGCAGTTCAGGACCGACTGCTTTTGAAATCTGACCCCTTTTTTACCCAAAAGCATCGCCACTTTGTCCGGGTTGTGTTCACTCATGCAAGTTTTCAGTGTGTACATATTCCAGTGACTTACATTTGCCCACAAATTAGACCCCCAATGCACCCTCTCTAAATGCCACCATCAGACCCCCTACCCAGCAAGATGAACTAATTTCACAGAAAACCAATTCAGGAGAGTAGGAAAGCATTGTGACTCATTTGATGGTGCACGGAAGACGGCACATTAAGGTCTGACAGACCAGACCATTAATGTGGTAGACAAATTAAAGGCCTGGCGTCAGAGTCTTATTATTCTATCCTCCATTCGTGAGTCAACAACCTTTCGAGTTTCCATTATAACCACAATCATGACCAAATACATGTGTAACTGCTGTACTGTTTTATTGAGTTTCTTGTTTTTCTGACGGCAGAGTGGTTTTTGTCTCCTGCCCTGCCGGAAAAAGGAGCCAAGGGGATTAGTGTGCTAACTTTGTGATTAGGTCCCTGCTGAGCCATTGCTACAAGTGAGGCTGCATCTGATATTAAAAGCCAGGGCTCCACATGCTCTACTGAACATTATGAATGTGGGCTTTTGAAAGTCCCAAGTAGAACCAGCTCTAAGACCCTGAGCATCTTCTCACCAGATTTACAATGAAAAGCTGTCCTCAGCCAGAGATTACGTCAAATACAGATACTTCCTTGTTCCTTTTTCTATTCTCTTCTCCATTATTGTCACATAATGCAGTGCACTGCGAATTCACGTCGGCATTATTTAGTCCAAAAATACTCGCTTCACTGTAATACTTCAGAAAGATGCTTTTAATTGCCCAATCCAATCTGTAAGTTTCTTATTCATGGTGGAAGTCTGATAAAAGTTGATGGAAGTGGAATTATTTCAATTCTCAGCTGACAAAAAAACTTGATAAAAATCGGTAACGCATTGACAATATGGCACTTTTAATACATATAACCCTGTTTACAGCTACAATCCTGGACAAATCTCGTCGGGCCTCCAACCCCCCAGAATGTTGGGTCTGTTCGCGTGGTCTGCACTCCAGCTGGACACGACAACATTGACCGGGGGAGTGGGAGGAGGGCTGTAGAGCTTATGGCTATTGCCAAGTATCCCAACAATTTTGTCCAGGAGTGTTTCTTAAGCTGTATCACCAAGGACCATTTAGGGGTACAGTTACGACGGCATGAGAAAGGCAATACCTTAGGGGAAATGTTCCCAAACACATGCCTCTGTCACGCCAGATATCAAGTATGCATTTCAAACTAAGACTTCATTGTATTAGGATTTTAATAGTACCTGGTATGTTTTTCCAATGTACAGGACTGAATTCCACCCGTAGAGTTGTTTTAATACCCAGATGTTTAATTGCTTCTGTGACAAAGATGTGTATTTTAATTCAACCGCTGAATTGTTAACATGCCATAGTTTTTGTTTGTAGCACGAATGCCATTGTGTTTGTATTTATTATTTTTTTTTCTTGCATCGATTAAGCATGCAAAGTTTGCTTCCAAAGCATGTTATTTTGCACAGTTTCAAGTAGCCTGTACAAGTAGTTTTTTGCGCTAATTCAGTATGCAAAGTTAGCTTCCAAAGCACGTTATTTTGAAGTTTTCAAGTAGTTGGTACAAGTAATCCAAGGTTGACATGGATTGCCATGCCACAAGTATGTTAATCATGTTTACTCAATAATTCGTAAACCTCGAATCATGTTACCAATCAAACATATCACAGTTATCAAATTGGCTCCTGAACATTTTTTTTCAAAAGTGAATTTCAGTCCACCCTCTGGCAAAGTTTACAACCTGTATTAACCTTCAACCAACGTGTAGACCTTCACTTTACATGTATATTTCATTTCAGTTTTTTGGTCATGTGTATGCAAAATCAGATGTTAAGATTTCTAGCAGGAAAGTTAAACAAATCAGGAGTTGTTGGCGACTCCTGGGATCCCTTAACCCTGTGTTTTAGCAGTGGGCCAAATCAGATCTCTTGAACAGGCTAATAAAACCAAAAAAAAATTGACAGAAACAAGTTACAGTTAAAGGATGAAGTTAAAATCAATTTGTGTGTTTAGTTTTGTTTAAAATGCTAGCCGAGCATTCCCATGTACAGTCATATCCTACATATTTCTGTTATCATGAGTGCACGTATAGCCGGCAAGATACGGGATGGAAGGGTACCCCCCTACATGTCCAAACCCTATAGACACTCTAGACTATTGTAACCTAACACATCCCCCCTAGATATCTGAAAAGAATTCCTGGGATTCCGGTGAAACAGTGACCGACACAAAACAGGGATTCTCTCCGTCTCATATCTTGCTTCAAATGTGTGCATACAAATGGACCATTAAACGTGACCATATAAACACGCTTAATATAATAAGAACAAGTCCGACTCTAGAGAAACAAACACAAGCTTCTTATCATAATTCCTGTTCCCGGAAGCGCTATTGAAGTGTTACGGTTGAAGCCTCATTCAATCTCGTGCACACACACAAAACAGTGTATTAATTGAACATCATAATGAATGTTAATTTCATGTTTTCAATCCATTCTTTCCATTTCAGTGAAATTTCATGCAGCGGGATACAAACTAAAACATGTCAAATTCCCCCCAAAAATGTCAAAAGCCTAATTTTAAAATGAAATGGACGTGTTCATGGATTGTAGTCTGTATGAAGGTTATGCTGGTACATTGTTAGTATTTACATGAAATACAAGTTTTCCAGTGTTCAATTTTTTATACGGTTGACTATTTGGTTCATTTTCTCGCATAGCCCAGTTCTTCATATTTTTAGAAATATTTTTCACAGGTCGGAATGGTTTAGGTACTTCCCTGCAGTATGCAACAGATGGTAACCTAGGCTCACTTTCATGGAGCTGTAAAAAACAGCCGGATATCAGCTTCTTGTTGATGAAAGTTTTGTAGTTTTCATGCTGATTGCAGCAACTTCATGGAATCGGCCCTGTTTGAGGGATGTACATGCATGCAGTATTTAGGGTACAAACTATACAAAGACTGGCCTAAATTTTGTTTATGCATTCTAAACTGTAATCCCAATGCTGCCTGTGGATATTGTTATCTGTATAAAGTGTAAATAGTTTTGAAAGATGTAATGACATACATGTAGTTACAAAGATGAAATCGCAACTCAAATACAGCAAAATGCAGTATGATTTCCAATCCACACCGCTGTCCTTTGAGGTGATTTTATTCAAGGATGTTGATATGCTGTATGGTTTGTGTTACGTCAGCCAGGATCTCAAGTCGTATTCTGTGCCGTCGATTTTGTTCACAAGAAATAAGAGTGGAAGAGGAAATGTTGAGAAACTGGCTGGTTTGGAAGGCATGGCTGACAGTACAAGTAAGAAAATTGATTTAAAAAATTAATTTTAAAAAATATAAGAAATCTGCATAATTGGATGCACAGGGGTGGCCACGTTGAAGGCATTAATCACTACAGCACAGTTGTTTCTGCAAACATCCTCTGAGTTCATGTTAGACAGAATGGCATTCATGTCTGTGAATCATACTGGCCATCGAGCATGGTTAATGACTGAAGGGGGGTTTGGGCAGGGTGAATTGCCAGGGATAATATGTGGGTGATATGGCCTGACTTTTCCAGAAATTGAGATATTTTCATGTCTTGATTCTGGAGAAGTTTTTTTCATTTTCATTGATATATCCTGTAACCACTGGGGTAGTAGAAATCAGTTAGTGTACAGGCAATACAGGTATCATTTGCAAGTTTATAAAAGTAGTTATTTGACAAAAGTGCACTTAAAAATCCCCTGTTGTGTTGAGGTCAATAAATGAGAATAGATTTTACAGATATTTGATGGAGCAAATCTGAACTGGTCTATGTAGAGCGGGACCCAGTACAAGGTTCATCTATAAAAAAGACCACCAGTCCAGACTTGACTGTGCTTCATCATGCTGAGAAATTAAAATTTCAAACTATGTGCTAGCTTTGTCATGACGGATAACAGGCTACATTAGGAAGGGGCCGCTCCTTCATACAACTCTTTTACCAAAAAGAAAACCTACAAACACACCAACTGCTTGTTGTCATGGTGTTCACATACCACTTTATTACAAGTGTTTGTACAATATTTACAGATCATTTTCCCCCTGCAAACAGCTAGCCTAATTATGTACACTGTACATTTTCCCTCGCAATTTCAGACAGGGAACATAGAGAACATTTTTTCAATTAGTTTTGTTGCTGTTCAGGCTCTCGACACTTCCTTTCTATGTGAGAAACCTGGGGAAAAAAGGAATTGTTTTTTGAAACCGAAACAGCAAGTTGGCCATTTTAATCCTTTTTATATCCCCATTGACATCAGCCTTTCAAACCTGGCTTTCGGCCATTCAGGGGTGGCATGTTTACATGACTTATAGTCTTTGAGGGTTAAGGACTGACACGGATGCCTGACACAAATGGTGATCTACATCAGGTGAGTGACACCATCTCAAAGCCAGTCATGTTCACCCAAACTGTTTTCAAGTTTGTGCTCTTGAAATAATCGCAAAGGGGTTAAAAAAACTCTTTGAGTTATTTCCCTTGCAGACGATGGCACAACCAAACGCTGAAAGCAAACGGGGAAAAAGTTCGGATGGGAGGTCGGTAACCGGCTAGACCCATCCAGGGTACACACTCGCCATGGCTTTCTCTTCATACACAGACAGCTAGCTGGCTCCCTACATTCATTAACCCACATCTGCGCAAAAAGCTTCGAGTGCAAGCAATGGTAGGTCTTTCACCCTCGTCAGTAAGGGGCTACACAATCCCACCTGTCAGCATATTCTCCCCCCCCTCCCCCCCTCATGCCATGCCGACGGCTGGCAGTAGAAGTCTCATGTCTCGGGCCCAAAATGACAAGCCAGCCTCCAGACGGCCAATGTACGCCATCATAATGACACAGTGCTAACATACGCAGACAGCCAAGCCTGACCACTGATCGTTCCCAGTCACGAGTCGTTTCATGTAATCCTATCTGTATGCAATCAGTTATGATTAAGCTCCCCTTTCCAAGTAGGGCATCACACACAACGTCAGGTGACTCATCTTATAACCTATCTTCTCTATGTGATTTGCACATATCACCTCTCGGGCCTTCTTTCCACGAGGCTCGAATTGTTTTTTCTTCTTTCCTGGTCTCTTCCCAGCCTTGGTTCTGTGTTGTCTCTGTCGAGTGACTGCACATTTCAGAGGCATCAGATTTGATGATACACTGGATTAATAGGCTGCAGGCAGTGAGGGAAATTCACACCAGCTAGGGCTGTTTTCCAAAATTTGATTATGTTTTGACATTAAAAAAACCTTAGATGTTCCAGTTGCAACTGTGTAAATTATGGCCACCGATCAGCAATACAAATGTGCTTCAGCCCTACGGTAGCTGTCCAGCCAACTATACGTAGTAAAGCTGTCACAAACAACTACAAATGGCTTTTCCTTTTGTTAGGCGAGTGAGTGCTTTCTTGCATGGGAAAACTCCAAACTTTCTTGCTTGAAAAATTCAAATAAACACGCACCAATTTTCCCACAAAGAATATATGAAACCAAAATTCTACAGTTGCATAACCAGGGTACATGTACATTTAACAGGCTGGCACTTTGGGGGAGGGGGTGAATTCCTGGAGAGCGACACTCAATAGGCTCAGTTCCAGCTAAAACACTAAGGTGGGGGGAATGGGGCACAGGGAGGGCACTGGCCTTGAGCAAGGGGATCTGTTCCATCCATGCCCCTCCCCCAACATAGTTATACCACTGCTGTCCAACAACTACACTGAATGCTGTGTATGTACATCTATGTGCATTCAGTCAAAGACCAGTCTCACTTGGTTTGTACACAGTCTGGATGCACTTGTGACCCAACCTACATGTACCAAGATGATTCTCAAATTGTCAGACCTGCACTGGAATTACAGGCCTCTTATTTAATCTTGCCTGCTGGCAATCCATGTGTACAGGAACTTGCATTGTTTTGACTGATGTGCTGCATGTAACTGCATTCCTTGGGATGACTATTGACATGCATGTTTCCATGCAAAGAACCTTTCTCTGACTGCAGGAGTGAAAATGGCACTTGAGACTCACGTCGATATGGGAAATTGAAGGTCTTACGATTTCAGACAGACTTTGGATATATGATTGACAAGAGGTCATTTCTAAAAGAAGAGGTTATGAATTGTCAAATCTAGGTAACTTTTCTGATTTGAAAAACATACTTTAGATTTTCACGATCTTTCACTAATAACATCACACAAAATACAATTAAAGATTGTAAACTGAATACAATATCAAGTCAAGATAAATAAATAAATCCAATTCCATTTTGTTTTCCTTCTTTCTCGGTCATAGATAACAATGTGCACCTGCTTAATTTTCATCTCGAACAAGCTGACACATAAAACCACCAGCAAAGGTGTGTATGTTTATATATGCGGTAGCCTGACACTTTACCAGTCCGACGTTCACCGATTTCAGTATACTGTTTGACAGACTTTGAGGGGAGCTGGGTGAGGGTATAATCTGGGACTTCTCAGCCACTAGGCTAAAACAGCACTGCCACGCCTACCCATATGAGTTGGTGTACTGTGTGGGGACACCGGTATGCCCAATTTTCATCTGACTTCACACAAACAGGTAGCATCTTCGCATGGCCTCTGGGTATTAGCTGTGCTAAACATTGGAGGTCAACTCTTCTTCTCTTGTTAGCACTGAGCGGGCATTTGTCCATGCAGCCTGTGGCCTTGACATGTATACCTGAACAGGTTATTGCCTCTCAGGCCCAAGAAACCAATTCCCCCAAACCAGGGCACACAGTCTTAAGATGTCAACACCATCACCTCTGAAATTCCCCTCTATTCCAATGGCTGGCACTTAGTTTATTTCAGCCAAGATCAACAATAAACACACAACTGCACCTGAACTTTTTCCCTCCCCTAACATCAAAGGACGAAGCCACGCCAATAAATATATTCCTGCGTCTGGAAGACCCACTACTCCAAGTCATCAATGTCAAAGCCGTCTTGGTAGTCCTCCATACCTGTGCATTGGGGGAAAAAATACAAAAGGAAAAATAAACGAAAAAACAAAGGAAAGAATCCATCATGCTGTCAGTAAGGCACATTAAGTATACATTGGGCTCCAAGCGATTATCTATACAACTTCATTGGCAGTCTGGCGTGACGAAATGAAACATTCACAAATAAACAGTGGGCGACAGATGAATGTGCCAACTCCTGACAAGTGTTGACGTAGCCTCCAGGTTCCGGTAACATAAAAACACATCAATCTTTGGTGGCTCCACTGTTATTTTTCTTTTGAAATTCCTACACCTTGGGGCTGTAACTGGGTTGCGTCATGTCAACAGTTTAGCGAATCTTGGAAGTTTGAAATGCTCAAAGGTTCATGTGTTTCTGGCATACTTTCATCAATCAAATCAAAGCCAAAAAAAAAAGACAAGCTAAGGATGGAAGTTGGAATTTTAATTGGCGCAAAATGGGCATTTACCCATTGAACCCGAAATAAACTGTTATTGCTTCTATGCACAGTGCTTTCTGACAGCCAGTTATAAAAGTCGCATAGTGGGCATATTCTGATGGGATGTGAACCCACAACCCTTTTTTTTCCAAGTGCAGAACCACTCAACGTACAACCTTGCTACATGTACTGTATAGAATCCTTTTATCATGTACTGTACCTACATGTACATGTATACCTATCTAATGCAGCGATAGCTAAATGTAGATCCATTCATTGGCATACCTGTCATAAGCACTCTGAAATTTGTTAGTTGGTACATGCATATGTAGGTCTCCTGAGTGCTGAGCACTTTTCATACAAGCGTGCTTACAATACCACAGATCAGGACAAATGTTGTCTACTGATCAAGGAATTCTGCCTTTGTAATCACCATTCTATATTCAGGCCCTTCACACAGAAATATGGTGCTAAACCTGTAAGTCTGGAGCTGCACATGTAATCTATATGCAAAATGGCATTGCTGCTAACATAGAGGTTTCTGCAGAAAGACGTAGAAAGCTGTAAAATTGGAGCCTTCCTATGAGCAAAAAAAACCCTACTGGAAAATTTCAGGTCTTATGCCAACACCATTTACTTGTGAAGCTTGCTACAGAGATTGTTTTTTGGTAACCTCCCCGAAATATTACCCAACTTGAAACACTCTGTAACAGAAGAAATAGACTTTGCTTCAAATTTGCTCAATCACTCGCTAAATCTTCCCAATATTGTCACTTGTTACCATCAAATAATTCAGTATTTGTGAGACTAGGAAATCCTTACCCATTTAAACTAATTTATGTGCAGAACAGAGAGGTATAAAACTGGTCCTAGGATTCAATCCCTCATTAGGCTCTAGATTAATAGCTTTAGTTGGTATTGTGGCTTTGTTCAGGAGATGCAGCTTCTTGTACCCAACAAATTTTAGCCATTTTTTTCTTTTTAAACTGTATGTCTTTAATGGTTTTAACAAGTTCATATCACTGAATTTAACATGCTTCTTTTTATCAGTTCTTGTTATTTTGTAAGATCGTGTGCAATTCAACCTTGATTTGTAATGAAACACCATAATTAAATAGAGAATGCTAAGCAAAAAGGTGTAGTGAATTTCAAAAAAAGGCTGAATTTTAAGTTCTGAATAGGCTAAAATGATGTTCTGGCAATATATTTAAGACCTACCGTATTGAAAAAAATTTCCAAAAACCCAACCTAAAAATGGAATGAAATTTCTCTTAAAAAGTGCTGAGTCATGGTGAGTTGCACTTTATTGCATTTTGATCAGACTGTATACTTTTTCTCGGTTTTTGGAATAGGTGTAAGATATCTTATCTGTCATTTACTAACTGACGTATGAAAATCTGCCAACCAATATTTTGGTCTCCAGGCCTGATTTCCAAAGAGGTGGGTCAAATTCAAGTGTTGTGTCTTGGGTACTTTGTACATATAGAGTCTGTGTGTTTTGTTCAAAGTATATGGACAAGTACTAGCCCTCCTTTCAATAAATAAGCCCACAGAGTCCTGCTAAGGTTGATCTTTATACCAAAATAAGTCCACAGAGTCCTGCTAAGGTTGATCTTTACACCAAAATAAGCCCACAGAGTCCTGCTAAGGTTGGTCTTTATACCAAAATAAACCCACAGGGTCCTGCTCAGGTTGATCTTTCTTTACACCAAAATAAGCCCACAGAGTCCTGCTAAGGTTGATTTTTATACCNTTGATCTTTATACCAAAATAAACCCACAAAGTCCTGCTAAGGTTGGTCTTTATACTAAAATAAGCCCACAGGGTCCTGCTAAGGTTGATCTTATACCAAACTAAGCCCAAAGAGTCCTGGTAAGACTGATCTTATACCAGAGATACATGTATTTTGTGGCCAGTAGCCTGGACATAGGGCCTTTAGCAGTACATGCAAGGTTACACAAGAGCAAATCGGTATATGCAATTTATACACAATGTGCTCTTTATCAACTAAATAGACTGTACAGTAATTATTACTGGTTGTATTCTCATGATGGCTCCATTGGCGAAAAGAACTGGATCTAGCCTACTAAAAACTCTTATTTATTTATTTGTATTTTTATTTGTTATTTTTTGTAGACTAGAGTACTGAGTTCAAGTGAACAAAAACTGAGCTCTGATGAACTGAAATGTTCCTGACAGAGAAATTTTTAGATTTATACTCAAGTGGCAACTGAATTGATCGCGATTGGGCAGTGTGCCTCTTTGAAAACATCCAATGCAGTTGCAAAGAATATTGGGAACTGGTACGAACAAGGAGTAAAATTTAGCCATATATGTCTGATGCTGTCAGGTCTAAAATTAAGAGATTCAAGGAGTGTGAGCCAAGTCTTTAAAACTTTCTGGATATCTGCACGTGTAAATCTGAAGCTTTCCATCTTTTAGATTACAGACAACTGTACCACAATCCATTACAGAGACAACTGTAAACCGACAGTACGTTTGTCCAAAAAACTACGATTGTCACAAAAACAAGGTTCCAACAGTTGACAAAATATCATAGTATGAAACAAAGAGGACTGAAGAGAGGAAATATCAGCTGAGAGCATGCCATCTATGTCATATCAAACAGGCTTTTCATCTTCACCAAGGAATGAGGCAGCCGAGACAGAGAGCAGTAATTTGAGCCCTACCATTGTGTGAAAAAATGAATAAACACAATTCCTCTGCCAAAACTAGCCCAATTTTGTGACGGGTATGGACTCAGTAACAGAGCTGGAGCAGCTGCTGCAAACTTACTGCAGCATTCACTGATTTCAACACTGTATCCAAAGATGGCAACAACTGATCACCACAAACTGGCAAGGGAAAGGAAACATCTGCGATGTTGAAAGTCTGATTGGAAGGAACTAATCAGTAATTTTTAAGTTGACAGAAAAAGAGATGCAACTCTTTCTCAAAATAAGGTTGGTAACAAAGTCTGCCCAATCAAGGTCAGTCACAGAAGACCACTGTGATTATTGCAGAGCCTGGAGAACATCACTTGCAGCATGTTACCCCAAAAAGTCAGAACATGGAGTACATGCAAATATTACCAAGGCGATCTACGCGTTTCTAATTTCAAATAACTTACAGAGCAAAGTAATGGTTGTTGGAAGAGATGGCTTTAAATGCAATGTTGGATGGCAAGCATATGCATGTTACACAGCATTCAACTACATGTAGCAATACTCTTTACCCTCTCTGATGGTCATACTCCAGGCCGGCGGTCATACTCCAGGCTGGCGGTCATTCAGTGGACCATTAGGAAAAACTAACTAAAGGAACAGTTTTGAGCACACAGGAAGTGGGTGGTTTAAGAGCACTGATATTAGTTACTTTAAGGAAACAAAGAAAAGAAAAACTAATCCACACAAAAAGAGGAACCAGAGCTGAAAAACCTTTAAAGGGGATGGGCCATGTACATGTTGGGTTAAATTGACGTTACATGATAGTTTTCAACTGTCTTACAAATAGTAAGTTGGATTAGCCCATCTTTTATGTCATTAAATCAGCAAAACTTGGCATTTTCTGAGTGCTTTTTTCAGTCTCCGCTGGGGCTCTCAATCTGTCAATGAGGGCGGCAGACAAATCTTGGCAAAAATGTGGCATCATAGGGCAGACTTGACTTTCCAGACCAGAATGCATACATGTAGTTCTGGCAAGAAAGTTTATTGGTCCAAGCAAGTGACTCGTAGTGCACGGCGAAAAAATGTCGGAATGGAACACCAATTCTGACGAAGTAGGCCAGCCTAGCTATGGACAAAAAACTACCCCCCAATATCACTAAAACACACAACAAAAGAACCAAACTGGCGAAAGAGGTAAAAGACAAGGAAGGCTGGCTTTCCTAGCAGACTTTAAAGACAAATCCTAACCCAACGTCAACCCGTTTAGCGTCACCTGGTTTTGCTGGTTATAAAAGACAGTTATGTCTCTTCAGAGAGACAAACTATTTTTAAAATGGTGCAGGAAAATTACCTGTCAGTGTTCTTCCAAGGATGGATTTGCACTGGGGACCACCGAGCTTGCCATCCTTCCATCCTTGGAAATAGTTGTTCAGGTACCCGCTATTCCATCTGACTTGAACCAGCCAGCCAACACCGGCAAGCTCGGTGGTCGAGTGGTTAAAGCCATCTGCACTAGTAAGCAGGAGGTCGTGGGTTCGAGTCTAACCTAAGTACGTTTGTGCATTTTCTCACAAGCCTTTGGGGACAAACACTGAGGCAATATTTCTTGTGCCTCATCAGCTCCTTCAATGTTGCTTTCTTCATCAAATGAATAAGACAAACATGACAACTGATCACTGTCAGGATCAAAAAAAAGCATCAACGCTGGAATTATCTTTGCTTGAATCTGATATGATGGTACTCGCTAATGCTACTGCGTTACGTACATTTCGACGTGTCCTTGCCTATTACAGTAAACAGTCGCCGCGATGATGATGCCACGATTTGTGGGAATTTCTTCAGACAACTTTTGGTACCCGACAGTTGTTGTTTAGCTTTTGCTAAGGGAGTGAAATAAGGTCGTGAAGACTATAATTTTTAACATATTTCCGTGCATTTTGAAATTATGCAGATGTTTTGCTTGTTATATGTATGTTTGATTTACGTGTTGATGCATGTTGTACAAGAAATCTTCCCAGCACGACCCATCTCATTAAAAACAATTAGCTGGTTCACCATGGGGAGAAATTTCAATCCATTCTTAGGTTGGGCCTATTAAGAACTTAAAATTCAAACTTTTTAAAAAGTTTCAAAGCAAACTTAAGCAACCAGCTACATGTATGATTGTTGGAACTCATGAGTGGATGTAAAGTGTCATAATGAAAAATAGTAATTAATAACTACATTAATGAAATTAAATACATGTATATCAGTGGGACTACGACAACTACCCACTATGCCCATGAATGCATACAGTAATGTCAATTGGAATGAATACATGTATATGTACATAAAGTGTACGGATCGACTAAATCTGTGAACACTTTATAAATAAAAAGTTGAAATGCAAATAGGGATGGCATACTGGGCACACATGTGTGCTGCAAAGATTCACTTTTAAATGTCAAGAAATTTCACATGCCCTTTGGAGAAGGCAACGGTGTGCGGATAACACAAACTTGAATACGGACAGAGTGATTGTGGACAAGGGGAAGAAAAGCTGACGACTGACATTTATGTTCTGACATTCACAGAAAAATACCTCAAGGCAAACATGTTTATGAATACAGTGCGGGTGTAGCAACTGAAATGTCAAGTTAAGCAAACTCTGCCAATTTCTCTGGCATATGGCTTTTCATTTTAAACAACAGGGCTTTTTACACTTCTTCACCAATCATGCGTATTCTCAAAATCTCTTGGGGGAAAAGACCGTACCAATCCCAACAAGACTCTGGGCGATTTTACACAAACATGGAAGGAAACTGATCCAAAATTGTGTTCAACAAAGCTGATATAACTGAGCAAATGAACAAGTTGATGCCAAAGCATCCACGTGGTTCTGTTCATACAGACCTTCGCTAAAGCTTTCAATTGTCTCTCAAACCACTGCAAGTGGCTGGATAATGTCCAGAGGAGTCTACCCATCTGTTTGCAACATGATTCGCAATATCTGTGAGCAGTCAATGAAGACGTGATTTATATGTCTTCTGGAGAGTACATGTCTTTGGACAGTGTTGGAGGGCTTGTTTTGCTTGGTAAGTTTTTCTACTGAAAATATCTAATTGCCTTGTTTGAACTGAGCCTTGTTTGAGCTCCATGTAAAATCAGCCAGATGCTATTTTTTCTCTCTCTCTTCATGAGTCACCTTAGGCATGCCATTTACAAAACAAAAAACACATCCAACACTAGTATGTCCAAAAAGTCAGAGCAGATATTAACCAGAAACAAGTTGGGAATCAAATCAACATGAACATCCGCTATATCCGCTAAAAAGTAGAACAGGCGAGCAAAAGAGAGGAAATAAAAAAATCAGGAAGAACAGAAAATCACCAAAATGCTGGGGGGAGGGGGAATTTAACAAGATGCCATCGGGCAGGATCCAGAACCCTGTCACAAACACCCCACCAACCAGAGGGAAGTATATGTTCCCGTAATGATGAAATCCAGAAGAGCTAACATCCGGATACTGAGTGGACAGAACATTTGAGAGCCAGCGTAGCTTTCATTAAACTGTCTCAGTGGATATGTCATCGGAAGAGAGAGAGAAAGAGAAAGGGGGAGAGAGCAGAAGTGTTTGGCATCTCGCTGGTTGACAGGTACCTGCGGTATTGAGGTCATGAAAATCTGGGCCACTGGAATTCAGGCCAGTGCTCCCCGGCAGTATGTTCTAATGACCATGGCGTACGTGCCCTGATCCAACTTCTCACTCGGAGAAAAGGAAAAGTCTTCAAGATTCTGGTGGGCAATACATGTATTTGTAGCTTTTGGAAAAAAGTGGTTGCTGTGAGAACATCTCCTTAACCCCCCTTTGGTTTTACAGCACAAATATGCACAAGCGCCCACAGCCACTCTCGTGCATGTGTTTTCTACATGGAACACAAACATGCACAGGTTCAGTGTGTACACAGTAGATTGCCAACACAAAATGACCCAGGGTCTTTTGTG